GCAAATCCACTGCATCACGGTGAAAAACGGGTTGCTCAGTTTTGTTGCTTTGAGTAACGTGCTCGTTACAATGTATTCAAAGTGCGATAGCTTGGCTGAGGCGTGCAAGATGTTTGACTCTTCTGGTGACAGGAATGCGATTACATGGTCAGCAATGGTCACTGGTTATTCTCAGAATGGGGAGTCAGTTGAAGCAGTGAAGCTTTTCTCGAGAATGTTCTCTGCTGGAATCAAGCCCAGCGAGTACACAATTGTTGGGGTTCTTAATGCATGCAGTGACATTTGCTATATAGAAGAAGGGAAGCAAATCCATTCTTACTCGTTGAAGTTGGGATTTGAAAGACATTTGTTTGCAGTAACAGCTTTGGTTGACATGTACGCAAAATCTGGCTGTCTAGCAGATGCCAGGAAAGGGTTTGATTGTCTACAAGAACGTGATGTCGCTCTTTGGACGTCGGTTATTAGCGGGTATGTTCAAAACTCTGATAACGAAGAGGCTCTGATTCTGTACCGCCGAATGAAAGCAGAAGGTATTATCCCAAACGAACCAACAATGGCAAGCATTCTAAAAGCTTGCTCCTCTCTAGCCACTTTAGAGCTCGGAAAGCAAGTACATGGCCACACAGTCAAACACGGTTTCAGTCTAGAAGTTCCAATCGGTAGCGCACTTTCTACAATGTACTCAAAATGCGGTAGCTTAGAAGATGGGAGCCTCGTCTTTAGAAGAACTCCCGATAAAGATGTTGTGTCTTGGAACGCGATGATCTCAGGCTTGTCACATAACGGACGAGGAGATGAAGCTTTGGAACGTTTTGAGGAGATGTTGGTAGAAGGAACAGAACCGGACGATGTCACTTTCGTGAACATTATATCAGCGTGTAGCCATAAAGGGTTTGTAGAGAGAGGCTGGTCTTATTTCAATATGATGTCTGACCAGTTCGGGATTGTTCCAAAAGTTGATCACTATGCGTGTATGGTTGATCTGCTGAGCCGTGCAGGACAGCTCACAGAGGCAAAAGAGTTCATCGAGTCAGCTAGTGTTGATCACGGTTTATGCCTTTGGCGGATACTGCTAAGTGCGTGTAAGAACCATGGGAGCTGTGAGCTAGGAGCTTATGCAGGAGAGAAGCTCATGGCACTTGGATCAAGAGAGTCTTCTACGTATGTGCAGTTGTCTGGCATTTACACGGCTTTAGGGCGGATGAGAGATGTGGAACGGGTTTGGGGAATCATGAGAGCGAACGGGGTGAGCAAAGAAGTGGGTTGCAGTTGGATCATGTTGAAGAATCAGTGCCATGTTTTTGTTGTGGGAGATACAATGCATCCGAGGATTGAAGAGACAAAGGATTTGGTTAGGATGGTAAGTATACAGATCATGGAAGAAGGAGACACGGCTGTGTTGGATTCTTCTTAGGTCGAAGAAGGAACACAATTAGATCTTTCATGATATATTGAGTAGAGATACAAATTTTGTTGTATTCTTTTATATCTATAGGTTTTTGATTTAGATGTGTAACTTTTGAAGTGATAGTGTATCACTAATAGTTATAATATTGTTCACACTATCAAATGTGATTTAAGTAGACCAAATGATAATCAAAGAAGAGCAAAATCTTTGTCAAGTCGTTGTAAATCAGCAAAAGAGCTTCCTTTTGTCTCCGTCACTGTCCTATCACTTTGATTATGTTCGTCAATCTTGAAAGTCTAATATCATGTCTGAAAAAAAAATGATTTTTCCTTGTTAAAAAAATGCATAAATGATTGACCACAACGGTGGAGTCCTGATATGTGTGTAAGTTCCCCTGAGATTTTAAAACAAAAAAATAATGGGGCATTCGGAGAATTGAACTCCGGACCTCTCGCACCCTAAGCGAGAATCATACCACTAGACCAAATGCCCTGTTGTTGAGCAACTAAGTAAAGGTAAGAACATATCTTGAAATGTTTTTAACTCGTAGTTTATTTATGTTCATCATATCTTGTTCTTGTTCTTGTAGTTGGGCTTTTGTTTGAAATGCTAGAGTAATTGTCTGAGCCACACAATCGTCATATCTAATTTTCTCAGCTGAAATGCGATGGAAGCATCTCAAAGTGAGTTTTACATTTTGGATCTTCAAAAAAGTAAACGGGGGCATTCCGAGAATCGAACTCGGGACCTCTCGCACCCAAAGCGAGAATCATACCACTAGACCAAATGCCCGATGCTGAAAAAGTTGGGATCATATATTAAAGTCTAACAAGATATTTGTCCACTTGGGACTTTTAGATGTTTGTCCACTTATTTAGATGACAAAGATCTTTGATGTAGTAAGCATGACTCTTAGTTATTTGTCCACTTAGTTGAAAATTTAGCATTTTGATATCGGGAAATGAAAAATTGGAGTATCTCCTAACTCCTAAGCTAACCTATGATACATCTAAACATTAATTCTGTCCATATCGTGTTAATTTTACATTTTACTCCATATATATATGCATTGAGTATATGACTTAGTACATTGTTGTCTCAGTTTAGTGATATATTTTAGACCAAAATAAATAAATAGAAAATTTAACCAAAAATCCGCATCAAGAGTTTCTAATAGTAATATCACTATGTTTGTATCTAGTCCCAAGTATGAAAATATAGTATTTACGTAAACATACTCATTCCTCCCAAAGCCCTCTGAATTCTAATCCCGATGCGTTTCTTTACTAGTTTAGTTTGATGCAAACTTTAGATATTAATTATGTCATTCGAAATTTTTTAATATACGATCTCAAACAAACAAACTTGAGAGAATGTTGTTAGTGATTCATATTTTCTTTGGCCTACTCTCATTCCTATAAGAGGATGTTTCTCGAAAACTAATCTCTCGTACTTAGAAAATTTATATTTCCAAATTAATTATACACACAAAAAAAGGTTTGTTCTAAAGTTATTATACACGTGTGAGATAAGTGGTCACTGATTCTTAGGCTTTTCAAATACGTTTTACATATTTCCAATGGGATCAATTAGTAACAAATTTGCCTTCTCTCCATCGTTTGTCAAAATTTTAAGAGTATATATGCATGATTTTAATGTCTTTTGTCAAATTTTCAAGAATATACTTTTAGTGTGCCATCCATAATCCTTTTTTATATATAAGCAATTTGTGCCATTTTTGTTGGCTGCTGTTTAATCATTAATGGAAGTGTGTATGTTGCCCACAAAAATTACACGACAACAACAACAACAACCAATAAAACATTCCTCTCCTTCATAGCTTATTTTATATTAGTGGGCTTAAGTTTGTTTATGCCGATAAATTAAATATCATCAGAATTCTTATAGAGATAGATAAATTGAACATTATATATCATAACTCTTTGAACAAAAAAATATATATATATATCATAACTCTTGGAGATTTACCACATGGTGCGCAACATTGATGAAACATTTGAGACAAGATTTTTCAAAATAAAAAATTAGATATCTAAAGTGAATACTCCAAAAGTACCATTTTCTATATTAATCGATCATCTGATTTTTTTTTTTATTTTTAAGATTTTACATGGAAAAAACACATCCGTATAGCCTTTTCACATGGCTGTAAGACCATTGAACTTTTAGAAGATATTTGATTCTAAAGTCTAATATCTTAGTGCTATTTGGTGATTAAAAAATCCACTAGCTGGTATTTGAAAATTTCAAATATTTATATAAGAAAAGAGAATAAAACAGTAGAACGAGATACAAAGCATAAATAAAGAATAAGAAGATTGTGTCATCGATCGATATTCAATAATAACAACCCAACTTTCACTCTGCTCAGTTGTCCCTCGAGTTGTTTTTTATTGCAATCGTGCGACGATGTTTAGATCTATTGAACTGTAGATAGGTTTTAAGGCTAACTATCGAACTATCTAACTGTATACCAACACATAACCAATTCTCTCTACACATGCTTATGATGCAAATGTATGGGATCCAAAATTATAACGGGCTTTAACTGTATACCAACACAGAACCGATTCTCTCCACACATTAATCTTTGTTTCTTTGAAATTTTTTATCATGTCACACATTTGTTTATTACAGTATATACTAAAAATATGCAAAATTATGGAACCGGACTACTGCATATTAATAAACAATTACAAGGATAACAATAAGAAAAGTTAAATTAAAGTGGGGAGATTGCATGTGAAGGGAAATTAGGGCATTGAAGAGAAGGCATGTTGGTGTATTTACTAATGTGAGCATTTAGTGAGACTGCAAAAAATGAGCGCAATTTTAGCTTACAAACTTACAACCTCTTTCTTATAACCCATTTCTCTTGCTCCCTCTCTATGTACCTTTCATTTAATGCATCGCTTGCAACATATATACTATATACTATAAATAATGATAAGGTATAGAAGTGTTTATATCTTTTGGCTGTGAAGTGTGTATATGACTATATTCTTATCGAAATGCGTTTACTAATATCATTTATATGAATATCAAGTATTGGGGTGAATTCAGTAGGTCTTTTTTTGGTCGTCTAGCTTATATAATGTGGTATATCTTAAACCTAGTTAGATGTTAAAGCATTACATGAAGAATTTATATACAGCAAACTTTAAATGCTGGGAAATACTCAGTTAAGGTGATATGTTTTTCAAGCTTATAATGCATGAAAGTGATCGTGCAATTTATTGACATTTTTATAAGGGACAAAAGCAACAACCAAAGAAATAGAAGATGAAAACACAAATATAAAACTCTGAATTAAACACCTATCGCTTCAGTACTATTCGGTATGGATCATCCCTCTTCATCCATCATCACTCCTCTCACAATAATTGCTTCTAACATGTACAACATCTATATTTATATATCTATGTAAGTCAAAACAATATATATATATTTGACGTTAAAGAGGAAAATAAAATAAGTTACTATTTGAACATTTGAATATATATGTGATCACTTCTCCGCACTTTCTGCTAATATTCACAGTTGTCACATGCTCATTGTTTTGTCGTAAATGCACATTTTATGTTAGAATCTCTAATTTGTTCGCCTACATTGAAATTTATCTAATCGGAAATAATTTCGTAGGTTTTATTGGAGAACAATTTGATGTTTAGAAAGAAAAAGTTCAATTCATCAAATACTCAAATTATGCTAAATTCACCATTCACCAAATAGTTGTTCTAAATTTTTAAATTTTAGATGATTAAAGTCGTATATATTTATTAAGGCGCTGATAATTTATTATTCACAAGAAAAAATAAATCTTGATTTTATTTATATTACAATAGTGTTCTAAGTATACAATTAATTACTCTAGACCATGTCCTGAGTTCCAACACCAATTACAGAAAATGAACCAATTTAACATGTTTTTGATTTTTGATTCAAAGAGAATATGTATCCTATGTACGTAAACGTAAGGCCTTGAATTCTTGGTTACAAAAAAAAATACAATTACTTTTTATAAAAAAAAAAAAGTGAAAAAATGGATGTACTTTGTTGTGCTTTTAAGGTTTTCATTCGTTTGTAGTGGTCCCAATATATCAAACACATGTGAAACTGATTGCTGTTTAGACACCCCACTGAAATCTAGGGTTCCTCCATGACGCCAATAATATTTATTTCTAAGATATAAATGTGCCACAATATACAGTATACGAAGACTTCAAAGAGTGAGCCACTGAGCATCTGTTATAGATAGGCATATTACTAGTAAATAAGACCAAACTAATACTATAGCTAATTGGAAGTCGAATCCAGGGGCATTCAAACACAACCGTTTGAGTAGCTAGCTGATTCACCAGTGAGCTATTAGCATTTGGTTAACGCAACAAAATGCAAAATGTGATGGTTAGAGGCCTCCGAAATGTGTCATGATGATCAATGTAACAAATTTGTTTGCCATGATGGTTATTGCTTGTGTGTTGAATAGAAATGCCACCGATTGTTAAAAAGATTATTGGTTTTGATTTATATGCACCCTATACTCAAAGCTGTATATTAAAAGAATGTTTAACGGACGTTGTTGTCTCATACAATTGTTGACAAGATAAAGTTCGCATTTCGTTTATCTTTGAAATTAATGCAGACGAAAAGAATCTTAATATTTCAAAAACAAAAAAATTTGAACAATTACTAATGGGAACGATCATCAACAAAGACCCTCGAGTCAATCCAAAATAAACGATCTTAATTTCTTTGCAATTACTATACCACCACCACCCATCCTGACCTCTTAAAATTTCTTATTTTTATTTCCCGAGTAATTTTTTTCCTCAGTATTACTATTACATTACAAAACTCCTAAAATCAATCGATTATGACTATGCCCACATCCAAACAAACCATTTGCTCCCCCCACCGAGAGAATCCTTTTCTTTTCTGCACAGACTGAAAGTCCAGAAATTAACTCCGCCACATATGATTATATTTATAAAAAAAAAACACACAAAAATAATCAAACCCGTCTTGTTATATTTAATAAATATTTCTACGTCAAAATAAAATGTGGAAAAAAAAGTAAAAATAACCATCTTTCTGTCTGGTTCTATTTAATATTTTTTGAGCTGTCAGAAGAGAAAATGAGAAAAGGGGAGAAATCCTAGTTCAGAACCAAACATGGATCGCTTTCAAAGATTCTGTTGCTTCAATTTCTGAAGAAATTTGAGTTCGTACGTTTGAACTGCAGAAGCAGTTTGGATTTTAATGCAAGAACTGTAAGGAAGAGAGGCATGGGGTTGCATTAATGATCACTTTGAGTTGCTTCCGATCTCTTACTGTTTTCTATTTGAGAAATTGATTTTAGGATGTGTATAAAGTATAAACAGTTAAAACACGAGGCAACACTGTAATTCCGCTGGAGTAAAAGACAACTTGAAACAATCCCAATTTATTAAGTTTAAAAAATAACAACAATAATATTAATAGTCTCAATTTAAATTATGGTAGTATGTTCAAAAAATTAATACATTGACTAGAAACCTTATGTAAACAGAAACTATAGGAGTAAATTGATGTATTAAAATTATAAAATATATTGATTATAGAGAAACTCATTCTTGCTTAATTGTTATTTCTTTAAAAAATGTGTGCCACCCACTATCTTTAGCAACATCCATCTTTGAACCCACTCAAAAACCAAGTCTTGCTAAGAAAAAGATCCAAGAAAATTGGACATATGATATGACAAATATTCAGGATATGCTCTGAATTGTCTTAAGTGAACATGGTCTGCGACTATACCCATGAAACTCCGATCCCTCGAAACAATGGTGTATTAGAAAGCCTGATGCGGGTCTGCCAATATTTTGTTTACATGATAGATGGATTTTGGAAGAACGAAAATGCGACAAGTGGATCAGGTTGGATCCGGGAACTTCAAATTGGTGCAATTGGTTTGTTGGGTTTCCAAGGAGTCTTCAAGGTATCTCGACTCTTTATCTTGAACAATATAGTATGATTTAAGAAAGGAGATGTCTAGTAGTAGATCTTGTTCTCACTAGGTGACATATTCTTGTGCGTATTGACTTCAGGGGGCCGACTTTCTCTACTGAACTGACTGATTTGGACAAGATAAAAGCCTTATTTCCATAGCCTGTGCAGGTCTATGAACCTCAACCTCACTCTAGTAATGTTAAAACAGATTTCGCAATGCCTGCATCATAAATTGATCTCTACGTTTGTAATCATTGCTAATGTTTTCCACTCTCTCCTTTTTAGTTTAGTTGTCATTCTAAGTTGTTTTGTGTAGATCAATACAAAGATGCGTACTTGAAAGGAAAAACATTTTTTCCGAAAGGGAAAGTGTAGTCATAACAAATTATCAATATTCAAAGGACGAAGTTTTCTGTGAAGAGTTTAAAAAACAATTAACATATCAAGTGTTAATGTATAAAAATGTACGAGAAAGAAACTAGAAGATTTAAAATGTTCTAGTCCCGTTTGAAAAGACTATGGACTTGAGGTCCTGAATTTCGTGGTTACCAAACAAAAATGTAAAAATAAAAAATACGTCAACATAAGACACCTAATCAATACGTCAAAATGTAACTGTAAATTTATGTGGCTAAAAAAGACGCTCATTGTACACCTAATCAAATGACTGTTGAAGACATTTAGGATTTCCAAGTTATCTTCTTTACCCATTTTCTTCTGTTTGTTTTTGAAGTGTTGCTCAATATTAACGCATTAAACAGTACATTTTTTTTTGTTAAAGGATATTACATTTACACTAACATTTTTTTTATTAGATGTTCACTAGGCATTGTTTAAAAAACTAAAAGCCTTTTGAGTTCTTGTTAGATATACCAAAGTGCTCATCGGTATCTAAAACCGATCAAAGACAATTACTTATACAATTGCTATCAATGAAATTAAAACATGCTACTTTTTTTACTGAAGTTGTTGTTTCTATTTTCTTTTGTAGCCTTCTTCTCTAATTCTTTTGCATCCCAAATAAAAGAAGTGCTGACATTTCTTTTTTAAATACTGAATTTTTTTTTGTCTTTTCTAAACATACACATGTACAGATGAAATAAATTATATGTATATATATATATATATGTATAGAGAGAGAGAGAGGGGGGGTGGTGTGTGGAGATATGGGTGAGACATTAAATAAAATTATGTAGTAAAAGAGATGAATATACGTAGAGAGGTTAAGTAGGTGAAGAGAGACTATAAGAGGGAGAGAAAGAGGTCCTAACCCTTTTGCCCTATTCACATTTTTACCATTAGCCATTCTGTTCCCTGCCTCTTCCTCTTCTTCTCTTTTGACACATCACATCATCATCACCATCAATCATCATCATCATCATATGCACACACATATATCTGTCTTCTTCGGATCGAGTTAAATCAGTTATGGCTTCCTCGAATAGACACTGGCCAAGCATGTTCAAGTCCAAACCTCATCCGCATCAATGGCAACATGACATTAACTCTCCTCTCTTGCCTTCGCCTGCTTCCCACCGATCTTCTCCCTTCTCTTCAGGTCCTTCTTCTCTTACAGTTTTTTTTTTTTTTTTTAATTCTGTTACAAATTTATCAACAGAAACCTATAAATTTTCATTTATTTTTTGGTTATAGAGAATTCTAATCTGACAAGATGTTATATGTTAAAAGGGTGTGAAGTGGAGAGGAGTCCAGAGCCAAAACCGAGATGGAATCCGAAGCCAGAGCAGATTCGGATACTTGAAGCGATCTTCAACTCAGGGATGGTGAATCCACCGAGAGAGGAGATTCGTAGGATTAGGGCTCAGCTTCAAGAATACGGCCAAGTCGGTGACGCGAACGTCTTCTATTGGTTCCAAAACCGCAAGTCCCGTAGCAAACACAAACTCCGCCTCCTCCACAACCACCCCAAACACTCCCTCCCTCAACCACAAACACAACCGCAGCAGCAACCACTTTCCTCAGGCGCCAATTCAGCTTCCTCTTCCTCCTCCTCCTCTTCATCCTCCTCCAAGTCCATCAAACCCCGCAAAAACAAGAGCAAGAACAATAACAACACTAATCTCTCTTTAGGTGGTAGTCAAATGATGGGGATGTTTCCACCGGAAGCGGCGTTTCTTTTCCCTGTTTCCACCGTCGGAGGGTTTGAAGGCATCAATGTTTCATCTCCTTTAGGGTTTCTCTCCGGTGATATGATCGACCATCAGAAACCGGCTCCAACGGTGGGGCCATGTACCGGACTCTTGCTAAGTGAGATCATGAATGGTAGTGTCAATTACGGATCTCATCATGATCATCAACACTTGAGTGAGAAAGAAGATGAAGAAATGAGGATGAAGATGCTGCAGCAGCCACAGCCTCAGATTTGCTACGCTACTACTAGTCATCCAATCACTTCTTTCAACAACAACAACAGCATCATGCTTCATGTTCCTCCAACTCCTTCTCCTACTACTAGTACTACTATTACAACTTCAAATTCTCTCGCTACTGTCCCATCAGTTTCGGACCAGATTCAAGTTCAAGGTAAGTTGATGATATATAAAGTTATATCCCTTTAGTTATATTCAGTATGTTTTATTTCTACTCAACAGTATAGATACATTAATTGTTTGTCAACAATGGAAGGGACACATTGATCAATTTTATAAACTTCATATATAAGGTTATTAGTATGTAAATGATTATTTATTTGAATATCCTCTCTCTCTATCTCTAACGTTTCATAGAAATAGATTGTTTAAGGAGTAGATATTTTGTGTTAACATATAGATATGATATATTTTTACCAAAAGACAAAATATAGATATGATATATACTAACATGAAATAACATATAGGCGGGAGAATAAGGGTGTTTATCAACGAAATGGAGCTTGAAGTGAGCACCGGACCGTTCAATGTGAGAGATGCATTCGGAGAAGAGGTTGTGCTCATTAATTCCGCTGGTCAGCCCATTGTCACTGATGAATATGGCTTAGCTCTTCACCCTCTTCAACATGGAGCCTCTTATTATCTGGTTTTGTTTCCTCTCTTTAAGTTCCCTTTTTTTAATGATAATTAAGGTTTATACATTCACCTCAGGTAGCTAGATACTACTATACTATAGGTGAAATTATAGTAAAATAAATGATTAATTAATGGTTATATAATCTTGGTTTATAGATCTCGTTTATTTCTTCATTGGGATCTAAAATGGATAAATGCATGCGAGAGACATGTTGTTTGGCTTAGGTCAACAATGTTGACTCAATCTAATTTAATTACACACACACACCTTGCGCTTCTTTAGAGCATTCATTGGTTTTTTTTTTCCTTTTTGGCCTTCGTGTTTTTTGACTTTTGTAGTATAAATTCTGTAACATATTTCGGAGGATGTGCCTGCATGTGTGTATATATCTATAATTATATATACAGTATAAACTTATATGTATGTGATTGAATTTCGAGGTCTCTTTTTGCTTTTGCAGATCTAGTCGTGTGGGGGATTTGGGTTTGAAGAAGAAAATTGAAGACAAGTCTCTTTCTGTAACCATCTATCGTACGTAGGCTTAAATGTTACATTTGATAAAAATATTGGTTTCAGTTACCTGTTGTGACGGTGTGATGTATAAGTTTCGGACAACATTCACGAAACTCTCGTTGGATTTGTTGACCGATATTTGCTGTGTGCGTTTCTTTTTTATTTCATAAATGATAAATCTATAATGCTTTTGGCTCTTCATCTCATGAATCCTATATATAGAGAGGGAATTGTAAAATAACGGGCTAATGTGGAGATGAGTAATATATAAGCTTCACGTTACCCAATGTGAAAGTAAATTAGGTCATGCGTTATGTTTAGTGTTTAGACTGTGATGTAAGTTCACTTGCGGGAAGTGAGGGAGTTTGACCTCAGTCCACGTGAGATGTTACTTCACTTTAATCCCGGGGGTTAAAAACGTTACATTCATATAACTGGGATTTAAAACGTTACATTCATACTTATATATTATACACCCTAATTACCTCTTTAACGGTTTAACCAGATAACAGTAATATAGTTATTATTTTCATCTAAATTTAAATTGTCGGAAAGGTTGTGTTTAATAGATAATTTGTTTTTTTTTTCTGAAATTTAAGATGTGTAGAATGATATAGTGAACAAAAACTGTTCTTAACGACTTTAAGTCTTTAACAAACAAACAAAAAACAATACAGTTTCAGTTATATTTAGATAAAATGATTAATGCTTAATTTGAACTACAGATTGAATCGGAATTAAAATGTAACAATTCATTTTAATATTTTCGGAATTATACCAATTAATAATATTTGAATATTCATCATAGACACTGTAACAGTTTTTTTATGTCGAAATCTTAAGAAAACAAATTATTTCGCTACAAAGGAATACGTTACATATGAAAGTCAGGAAACAGAGTTTTGACAGTCAGTTGATATGATTTTTTGCTTTAATATTTCAACTCTGAATTTCATATTCTAACCTTTAATATTCCTTTACAACAAAACATGTAATTTACTACTACTACTATAAAGTATAGTATAGGAGTACCTACAAATAGTTAAGGGAATTAATTCGAGGAGAATAACAAATCTAGTAGATAATTGTATATGAATGCAAAGGAGGTCTAGCTAGGTAGTGGCTTTGTTAGATCAAATCAAATGTCAAAAATGTGCATAATAAAAATGTAATATCAAATCACACAAATGTTTCTCAATAAAAACATGGTCCTACTGTCCTTCCTTCTACTGTTTGACTGTTTCCTTCATCTTGTCGCTTTGACGTTATCTTTACCAATGCTTATATTATTTTCTTTTTTTTTCCAATTTAAGTCGTATATACAAGACAACATTTAATTTCACCCATTTTCTTACCACCCAAATTAAAAGGGAAAACTAGAAACGTAAACATTGTCCTCGCATGTTAAAGTTGCCACAAGTCTATGCTGGCGTAAACTGTTGGAGATTCTAACGTAAACACTTCCTCGCATGTTAAAGCTACCAATTTATTTCTTTATTTCCAATTCAAGTTGTAAATTGTTGCCACAAGTCTATGTTGCCGTGCGCGCAGAATTTTCCCCGAAATTCCAAAACTAATCATTTTAATTACGTCTGAACAAAAAAAACACTATATATTGCTCTTATCACTTTGGAGGGGAAACTATGTATAGTAAGATAATAAAATCCGAACGGGACCAAATCTATATTGCTATGTTTAAAAAGGAACGATTGGCCTCCATCCAAATTAAAGCGGAAATTTGCGATCGCAATGTAGAAGTTGTCACGAAATTAAATGTGTTTGAAGAATGTAAATAGAAATCTATGAAGTGACAAGAAAGAGAAAAATAGAAAGCTAAGAAAGAGACAATGAAAAATAGGTTAAGAAGAAGAGTGTTGACCAGAGGAACTGTGGATTCACCAACAAGTGGGACAAACTTTCTCTTACGTCCAAAACTGACACAACAGTATCTTAACTCTTTCTCCTCATCATGAATGATATGCATATGACACTCACTCCACGTTCACTCTCTCTTCTCTCTCTCTCTCTCAGTTTTTGTTTATTTATTTATTTTCTATATTCCAAGATGTTAAATTGATAACTATAATACTATGATTTAAGTCTCTTGTAATGACTCGACTTACCATTGATAAAACTATTTTAGATCTCAAGTACCTTTTTTTGTAGTATCTTGTAGCCTCGTAGGTATTATTAGGTAGTAAAGGTGAGCGTTTAAAATATGTTATGTTATGAAGATTTCAGATATCTCAAAAATCATCATCTGTGCATTTGTTCCAACAAATTTGTTTATAGATTAAATTAATTTCCTACTTTATATCCTTTCAATTAAAATCAGACAATCTGAGTAAATAATTTACAGAATTTGTTCAAAAATTTTATAGATACCTTAACTTTTTGGGTTTTTGGAACCTTTACTTTTTAATTTTTTTTTTAAATTACTAATGCGACGGTTTCACCTCGTTGGTCTCAAAATCAGTATTGAATTTTGATATGATAATAATTATAATAAAAAATCCGCTAGATTACAGAGTTTAATAAAATGTGTTTTAGCATTGAAAAAGAGTATTAAGACATACTTCTTCTCAAACTAGCACGGGATGCTCGTTAACATCTATATGATATTTTATATGTTAATTATATAGATTCGGCTTGGTTTTCTGAACCGTTCTGTGTGTATTTTGTGTTGTAAAAAAAAAAAGATATGTGCTTCTAAATTCTAAATGCTTCATATTTTATTTTGCATAGAAACTTGAAAACACTATATAATATATTTGAAACAAAACAAAATCTCTTTAAGGTTTGGAGACGAGACGTTTCAGGGTAAAATGTAGTTTAATTTTTATAATTTTCATAATTTAAACTCAGGCTAACATATCTAAGAGAGCGATGTGATCTCGATCTTCATACAGTTTGCAGTATATGTGATTGACATAAAGGACAATGTTGGGGATGATCCACTTAACACGTGGTTGTCGGACGCTGACGAATAACATAAGAGATCAGAACCCCACGAAGTTTGATAAAAAATGATTTGGCACAAATTAATTATTATGAACAATGATGAATTTTATTAAGTGGACTAAATTTTGTATTCATTTAGTTGGCCAAATGTATTAGTGTAGTTCCTGTAGTGGACCAAATCTGTATAGTTCTCAGTTTGTAGAAAAGTTTAATATGTGGAGTAAATCTAGATGTTGAGTTTCTATGAACAAACTTAGTTCATGCATGAAGCAGGTTATGTTTTTTGAACTTTGTGTACAAGTTCAATTCAGTTAAGCAAAAGATGGGTGTTTTTGTTATGAACAATATCAGAAGTGACAAATTCAAAAGAAAACTTTTTTTAAAATGATATTCTGAACATTTTGATTTTTCGTTAGGAAATATAGTCCCTAATTAAAAAAGACTCATTTTAGACTTGTATAGTCCCTAGCGAGAGCATCACACAAAAGACCATATTTTCATCAATCTTGAGATTTATATTTAGATTATCCCAAAATTGATATTACCAGTAAAACAGAGGAGAATCCTTGATTCTCTGAATCCTCTCCGTCTCTTATCAAACATTCATAAACATTGTCTCTTCTCAAATTTAGTAAACGTTAAAAGACAAAATTAGAAACCCACAAAAGAAAAAGAAGATATCAGATTCTTTCTTGTCATCCAAACTACTTGGAATAGTCATATAACCCATGTTAGATAAAATTGTTCGAGAAAAAAACGTCATAGAGACAAAAGGGTATATAATTGACAAGACATGGGAGCATATAAAGCTGAAGACGATTACGATTACCTCTTCAAGGTTGTGTTAACGGGAGATTCCGGTGTCGGAAAATCAAATCTTCTCTCCCGATTCACCAGAAACGACTTCAGCCACGACTCACGCTCGACCATCGGCGTCGAGTTCGCCACACGAAGCATCCGTGTCGACGACAAGGTTGTCAAAGCTCAGATATGGGACACTGCCGGCCAAGAAAGGTAATCAAGAAAATCAAGAAAATAAAAAACAATGGTTCAAATAAACCAAACCGGTTCAAATATCAATCTAAATCAAACCGAAACCGGCTTGTGCACTCCTAGGCTCCTAAAAAATCATTGCCACTCTTTTGGTGGAGTATGTGTTCCATATATCTTACTAAGCATTTTGAAATTAGGTATCGAGCCATCACGAGCGCTTATTACCGAGGAGCCGTTGGTGCGTTATTAGTCTACGACGTGACACGGCACGTGACGTTCGAGAACGTTGAGAGATGGCTAAAGGAGCTAAGGGACCATACGGACGCAAACACTGTGATCATGCTCGTTGGTAACAAAGCTGATCTGAATCACCTTCGAGCCATCTCAACGGAAGAAGTGACAGCTTTCGCGGAGAGAGAGAACACTTTCTTCATGGAGACTTCGGCGCTGGAAGCTGTAAACGTCGAGAACGCTTTCACTGAGGTTCTCACTCAGATATACAGAGTGGTTAGCAAGAAGGCTCTTGAAGCTGGAGATGACCCAACCACTGTTTTGCCTAAAGGACAGACGATCAATGTCGGAGGCAGAGATGATGTTTCAGCCGTCAAGAAATCAGGTTGCTGCTCCACATAGCAGATATGAGCTTTTACTGTTGAGAATTTCTTTCCATGTAATGGAAACGTTAGAGACTGAATCAAATGTGAAAACTTTGAAATCGTGTAATTTATTTGGATACGGAATCACAGTTTTAGGCAAGAGATCTTTTGTTTGGGAATAACTTTGCCATATACTAAAATCACAGGCCCAAAACTTCAAAGTGCCCTTTACCATAAGTCCATAAAGCCCATTATCACACACAAAAATCCATTTGACCTAATGGTTCCTCCACTCTGATTGTAAAGTTGGAGAGAAATATTTTGTATAGTTTGGATTGGATTGTGTAACAAACACAATAGAGGCCGACATCATGATTGTTACGTTAAGTTGGATACGAGGTAGTTCGATAAGATACGCTTAATGATGGAATTCAGAACTTATATTATAGTTTTATTGTTTAGTCTTCGTTGTGAGTCTTGTGACTTGTGACCAAGATAGAAAAAATGTAAAATAAAAGAATGAGAAAAATCTTAAAAGTGTTTTTAATCAAACTTGAATCTATTCGCACGAAATAAAATAAAATAAATCAACGATGGATCTATTAGACTAATTGCAAGTCCAATTTAGATTTCGTGTATAGTAAAAGAAAATAATAATTTAAAAAAAAATCGAGTTCCACTAAACTCTGGGTGGGCCATAACACAAGTCATTCGACACAAATGACAAACCCAACGTTCATTAATCCAAGATTACATCATCGCATCTAACACAAATCTGCAAAAACCATCATTAACAATTTTTTTTTAATAATAATAGAGATTCGAATGCTCATCTCATCTGCAAAAAGTTTAAACACAGTATGATTGGTTTGCCACGAGTTTTTCTTTAATCATGTTTTGACATCGATCATCATTTGTATATCTGACTCTATTGTCCTGATTGAGAAACTCCCAAAAGTAAATATGTATCTTGTAAATATTAAATTTTCTTGCTACCACCATCTTTATCACTACATGACTATCATATTTTCTTCTTTTTTTTATTTCATCTAGAATTATATTAGAATGAGAATTATACGACGTTAGATGTCAACCAAACCACAGAGCTGGCGGATATCAGAAAATCCCCGGAAAACAAACCTAAGAAAGAGAACTAAGCTCCAAACAACCGGAGAGGAAAAGACATAACACAACCACATAAACAAACTCAAATGCATTGGAGCTAAGGATTAAAATTTTCCTTTATATATATTTTCGTATCTTTGTCCATTATATATATTTTTCTCAAAAATTAAAATGAAAAACACTTAGACAGGCTTTTCATTATTTCATAATCTAATTAAAATATGAAAAACGAACATAAAAATGTTTAGATGAGCTAGCATATTGGTACTCCATTTATTTGGATGTACCATTCTTATTTACTATTCTCTCAGTAGCATTAAAGTCATCTTTTCAGCATCGACGGTCAAAAGTTCCATAAATACAAAAATCGTATTCTTCTTACAAGAATTCAAAAATGTAATTTTTCGCTTCGTTGACCAATCGCGCTCCATGAAACTTCCAGCCTATGGCAGAACGGATATAACCGGGCATATCAAGTCATTTTAATATCTACGGTTTAACAGCATGTACGTATAACTTAAATATATTTGAAATATACAATTCTTATTTTGTTTGGTGTTATCTGCTTGTGGTCGCACTAATGACTGGAATTAAATACGCCATCATTTCTTTGGTTTTGTAGAGAGTCCATGATCTATTCATACAACCCTTTGAAAATAGTAATAAGGAAAGCGTAAGATTCAATATTCTGTTTACTTAGGTATGTGTAAAACAAGACTTCAAATATTACTAAAATTGAGGAAATGGTGTTTTGACTTGTTGAAATAGTGGACTTTGGGGCAAGAAATTGAGAATTGTTTGCGAAGTATATTGGCTTTATGATAACTTTGAAATCCAATGGCAATTTCATTCATGTTTACTGAGCTCGTTCATTTTTTTTTTGTAAACTAAAACTAACTTCGTATGTTAATGGTTTTTACAAGCCAAGGGTTTAAGAAATCATCGAAATTTGGAACTTTATCTTCCGAGTTGATATGTAACGTAAACGTATAAACGTAATAATTTAGAATTTGTCAAAAGGAGGAAAGTCCATGACAAATGAAAGATAGTTTGGTCTAATGAAATAAATACAGTAAAAAAAAAAAAAAAAAAAAAAAAAAAAGAGAAAATTTGATGCATCAAATTGAAAACGCACCATCTAATTATGAATCAATCTTAGTGCGGTGGGTGGCACTGACACAACTGATTAAAGCTGAGTTTAAAAGCCCGAAATAGTAATCAGTCAAAAAATAAAGTAAAAGTTTCTTCTTAAGAAAATCATATATTTACTCTGTTACAAAAAACACCAACCCTTACTTTCTGTTGCTGCGCGTGTATCCACGCGTACAAACTTATTAATTGTTGGCGACGTTTGTCTGAAGATAGTGATGTAAAAGCCTACGGACAGTTTTAGTTCTATGTTGTCAAGTCATTTGTAATTATGTCTCACCTAGTTAACAAATATCTTACCAGGTTCAAGTCATAGGGTGTGAATGGTTGGTATTGTTAGAGTAAAAATATAGGTGGGAAACTTTTTTTACTCCCACTTCCTCTATTATCTTACCAATCAGGTAAAAAGTGGAGGTATAATATTTTATCAAATAACGCTAAAATCAGCGTTATTTTTTACTCCACAATTTAGAGGATGAAAACTTTTTTTTCTCTTTCCACTCTTTTACTCTATAATATTTTCCACCCAATTACTCTCCCTTCATTTACTCCATTTTACGCTCATACGTACCATTCACACCCATAGTGTAATAATCAACCAAAGCTTATTTTTATTCATTTTCAAAAAAATATTACTCCTTTATGTCTCACCTAGTTAACAAAAAAAAAAAATCTTTTAACTTTTATTAACTAGCAAACATCAATCTTTTTTTTGGGTGTAAGTACATCAACTTCATATTACTACTTCAAGTGACAGAATTATTAGTGTTTCTTAATTAAAGTTTGTTCATTTTAATATCCGGTCGTCTAGATGTTTGGACATCCGTTAAGATACAAAATCATCTATATGTTTTGAATATTGCGACTATAGTTAACTTAGGAAATGAAAAGAACGGTTTTTGGATCTATAAGTCAGATTATTTAACCTGTAAAACAAAACTAGCATAATAACGTTTTTTCAACTGTGCATAAATACATATATAGAAAGGTGTTTTTCATTTATATTCTTCTGTAAAATTAGAAGACGTGCATGTTTAACTTCAGTATAACACGGTTCACAATATTCCTTTTTTTGGCAAGTTGGGTTCTTTTTTCCATAATCGTTTCAAAAGAAAATATGAATAAATGAAAAGAGCCTTGTTGACAGTTTATCAATATCAATCACAGTCTCAAAACATAAATATTGGGAGGAGGAAATTGATCTTTAGCAGCCCCTCGAATAAATGAAAAACGAAACTGAAGCATTGAATGAATGTGGGGTTTCGTTCTGCAAAATTTCTACAGAGAAAGAGAAAGAGAGAGAGAGAAAGAGAAAAAGCAAAAAGGTTAACAAAAGGCTCAATGAAGAGAGAGTGGTGAGTACGCGTTAGGGAGGAGCGTGAGAGGTGGAGAGACTTTCCAAAAGAAGATAGGAAACGGATGTCGGGGGATTAACCAATTGGGTATTTGGATTTGTAACCCGTTTTGTCCGGGTCCTGCCCCAATGCAACCCTCCTTTGTGTGGCTCTATAGCCTTCTTCTATTGCTGTATCTATCTATAGATGTAGACTGTTCTCTCGCGTGTTCACCAAAAAATACAAAGAAGAAAATAAAGTGAAAGAAAGAAAGAAAGAAAAAAGTCCCCCCTGATCCTCGGGTTCTTTGTAATTTATGACACTCCCAATTTAAGACCTTCTCTCTTTCTTTTGCTCTCTGTATCTATTTGTCCTTTTACAGATTCTTTAATTACATTTCTACCCCCCTACATGTTGTATTTACTTGTACTTGTTGTTACAGGTTTAGTTGTCCCTATTCTTTGCTACATTGTGGGCAATTTATTATACTATTATACCCACACACGGAAATAATTCTATTTCACAAGTACTTATGAGAAAGGTTGAGTCAATTTTCATTTGGGGTGATTTGAAACAGATCCGACCAACCATTAAAAAGGTACGATAGATTTAGTTAACATGTGTCGTTTTGACGCTTAGAAGAGATGCGATGAAAACTGAAGAAGAAATGGAATGATCCGACCAAAGTCGCTACCAAATAATTGACCGAACACTTCAAAACTACCGTAATTGTTAACTACATCACATACAAACGATAGTTTAATAAATTAAGTTATGATTGTTAAAAATAAAATAAAAAATTGTGATGAATGAATCATTGAATAGTATTTCATGGACTAGGATTATGCCTAATTAAACTCCCTTCATGACAAAGTTTTATATTCTTCATTGATTTCCTATGTTGTTAAGTAATGTTAACCCCATCTTGAATTTATACAAGGCAGACAAGAATTTGTTGTTGTTTGCATGTGTATTAAGATCTAATATAATTCAAAATGTGGTATGATTAGGTTAGTTCCTTATCTGGGTCGACATAATTATAAGAATTTTCGAAACCTCATCTTACCAAAAACATAGATAATCCCTACCATTTGTTTCTCTCAATATGTCCTACCATTTATGGACCCTACTTTGTAGATACGCAATAATTCTTCTATTTTAACCATGGAACTATGGTAGGTGTATTTAGGGCCTGATTGGTTCTCCCGCTACCACCCGCAAACGCAGCGTTTGCGGTTCGTAGCGGTTTTCGGCGGTTTATAACAATCACGACAACCGCTTTGAATCGCTCTATACCACTCTGTACCGCTCAATACCGCTGAAAATCAAAAGCTCCTTTCCGCAAGCGTTTGCGGTTGCGGGTGGATAATTAAAAAAAAAAAAAACACAAACTTATATAAAATCCGAAAATAAATAATAATATTTATTAAAAAATAAGATTTGGATAATAAAATCACAATATAAATAAAAAATTAGTACTTTTAGTCAATATTCATTAAAATCATATAATACTTATATATTTATAAGTTCTACAAATCAAAATTCTCATGATAAATATTCTTTCATACTAATACATATATATCTAATAAATAAAATTGTAATATAAATTTAATTTTCACATTAAATATATATTTTGAAAATAAAATCACATTTTTTATTTAAATTATAGAAATTAAAAGATAGATGTAAGTATTATATACATATTATTCTTTATATATTTTTTTATTATGTTGAACCATAAATTTAAAATTTTCATTATAATATTTTTATTTTTATAATTATATAATGTGTTTATATTATTAATTTATTGTTTAACCGCTATTGCATCCGCAAGTGAACCAGTCATAAGTAACCCGCAAACGCATCAATTTTCAATTGTTATGCCAGTCGTTCAAACCGCTTAATAACGCTACTAATCACAACCGCCCGCTTCCGCAAACTCCCGCACCCGCAACCGCAACCGCAGCGGTTAAACCAGTCAGGCCCTTAGTTGTTCGGATGAGTATCGACCAATTTATCTCGCCGTTTATAATAGGTTCATGAACAATATTTTGCCTTGGTTTTGATATTTTTTTTTACTGGAAATTTAGCTCAGAAATCGATTTAATCACCTCAATATGGATACGATATGTTGATAGTTATAAAAAAAATTGAATACGATATGTTGGATTTTTAAAAGTAAAAGATTTTTTTTTGGTAGAAGAGAGGAGACAAAAGTCTCCTTAATTTATTAATGAAACAAAACAATCATGTTCGTACAAACCGGGCTCTTGTAGAGCTATTAACAGTTTGAAAATAATATAACAGTTTAAAATAAATAATTATTAGAAAATGACAAATCAACAAAAAAAAAACGAGATCTTCATTTTCTTCCCTACCATCATCTTCATCGTCGTCCTTATCATTGTCTCCTTCTTAATTTGGCTTTCTTATTGGTTGTAGTTCGACTGTTGTTTATGGTAAATGAGTTTCAATTGTCTTAACGATGATTTTTTACAGTTTTATACATTTGATTGGAAAAAAAAATTGAAAGTTTTTGTTCAAAATCTTGAACTAGTTACTCGTCGTCTTTATATTTATATTCATATGTGAAAAACTCTTCACTCCAAACCATTAAAGAATCAATTAGACGCCTTGTCTTCCTGCTACCTTTCTTCAGAAAACCGGAAATCGATTACGTTGGCATGAAAACAACTTTTGTTTCAAGGTAAAACCAACCACAAACTTGTACTGACATATAAATGAAACCTTTTACTTATATTATTTTTTTTTTTGAGAACTGGCTTTTACTTATATTATTATCAAGATCGTAAACTCCCCAAATCTCGTATGCATCTAATATGCAATATCCTATGCATCTTATTTAGAAAATCGCTGAATGGTAAAACGATCCATTTTTCTTTACCTAAAATAAAAAGATAAACAACAATGTCGTTGTAGTATAGTGGTAAGTATTCCCGCCTGTCACGCGGGTGACCCGGGTTCGATCCCCGGCAACGGCGTTTTCTTTTTTGGTGATTATTATTTCTTCATAAAAAACACATTTTTTTGCATATATAATCTAAATATTTGGATTTCAAATATTATAAACACACTGTTTTTTTGCAAACATTGTTTGAACGAGATAGTTTTGGCACACCATTTCACCAAAGAATTTGATCACTCAATTATTATTCTGGATAAATCAATCTCTAACAAAAGCTTTACAAAATGTATTTTACATCTATAAAATCGTAAGATAAAAGTTCCCACCATCTAATTAGTTCTAAATTTGAATCACAATCAAAACCCATGATTTATCATAAGATAAGAAGATATACAACCCTTTTACTAAACTAGTGGAAACCAAAGCCAGAAAAGAAAAGAAAACAAAAGAAATACTACAATCTATACCCTGTTGTACTTTATAATCACGGAAATTAAAATATGTAGAATATAACGGTAATCCAAATCGACACCAAAAACACAAAAACACATGAACTACCAATAATAAACTAATAATGGGTATATAAATTAAACTAATCACTTATGTGCATCAATCCCTAAAAGCATGCCACCACTATTGAATCATTCTTTTATTTCTTTTAACATCCCTCCCTCCCACCATAAGAAAATAAATAATCTAAAGAGACGACAAAGAAGAAGTAAAAGACATTATTTTGTCTACTTTTAAAGCTCAATAAAAGTCATTAGTCTTTGCAGATCTTATTGTATAATGATAAATACCATGTACATGTAAGAAAAAATACTCGTATAAAGTATATCTGTAAAATCCAATAGTATTATCCACATTGTAAGAAACCGTTGTGTAAATAAAAAGAAAGAAAAAGAGAAAAGAAAAGAAATCAATCTAACAAAAATCTAATCCATCTAATGTCTCTCTCCACGCACAAAAGGTCTAAAAGCCACACAACACACATCAGTCACCAGACGTAGCAGAGGGCACTGTGCAGAGCACTCAGTACTGTTCTGTTCTGATCCTCTCTCTCCTCTCTCTCTCTACTCTTTAAACACTGTGTAAATAAAAAGGAAAAATTAAAAATCAAAACTTTTTTGTTTTTCTGAAATGAAAATGTAAATTAAAATCTTGGATTTTTATGGAAAAGAAAACCCTTTTTCTACGGCTTTAAGACTCACTCATCACTGTGCTCTCTCCTCTCTTTTCTGAGAGGGTAAAGTTCCAAGTCATGAAGAAACTCCTCTGAATTTATCTTAAATAAAATAAAGCACTTATCTTTATCTCTCTCCCTCTCTCTCTCTCTCTTTCTCTCTAATGGGTGGTTTAATCGATCTGAACGTGATGGAAACGGAGGAGGACGAAACGCCGTCTACAGCTTCCGGGTCAATCTCGCCTTCATCGTCGTCCTCAGCATCCGCGACCGCGTCTGCGTCTGCGGTGAGTGGGTCTTCGTCTTCAAGCTCCTCTGGGGTATGCCTGGAGCTGTGGCATGCTTGTGCTGGACCCCTCATCTCTCTCCCGAAAAGAGGAAGCCGTGTCTTGTATTTCCCTCAGGGACATTTGGAACAAGCCCCCGATTTCTCCGCCGCGATTTACGGGCTCCCTCCTCACGTGTTCTGTCGTATTCTCGATGTCAAGCTTCACGTATGTCTTTATAATCTTGTAACTTTTTGTTTCCCATTTTATTTATGTTTTGTTTTTCTCTCAAACTGATGCTTCGATTTTTTCTTGGGAGCAAAAAAAAATTCCTCCTTTTTTTTTTGGGGTTGTGTTTTGGTGAATCTGAGTTTGGGGTTTTCGATACAAAGTATGGAGATTTGTGTCTCTTGTTTATTGAATTCGTTTTTGATATAAAAGGAATTTATGTTTATTTTTTTTTTCACTGGAAGTTTCTTCTTCTCTTCTGTTTTGTAAAAATCCGTTCTTTCAGGGAAATTTTCCATCTTTGCTCATTTTGTTGCAATTTAATGACATTCGATTAAGAACATCTGAAACCCTCAAGAATGTTTGCTTTGGCCCTTACGAATTTGTTCTAAAGATTGCAAATAATAAGTCAGGAATTTGATTCCGGAGAAATTTCCCTTTTTGCTCCATTTGCATTCTTTCTGTTGCATTTTAGTAAAAAACATTTGATGCAGTTTTTGTTTTGTACTCTGTGAAACAAATGTTGTTTGAGTAAGAAACGTTTGATACACTTTGTGTTTTGTTATTTATAACGAATTTGTTTTAAATGTTGGGGATAATGATTTCGTAGGCAGAGACAACTACAGATGAAGTGTATGCTCAAGTCTCTCTTCTTCCTGAGTCCGAGGTGAGTGTTTTCTTTTTAGCTCAAGTGTTGGAACAAGAAAGAGATTATCTGCTAAAGATTTTGAGTTGATTTTGTTGCAGGACATTGAGAGGAAGGTCCGTGAGGGAATGATAGATGTTGATGGTGGAGAGGAAGACTATGAAGTCCTCAAGAGATCAAATACTCCTCACATGTTCTGCAAAACACTCACTGCTTCTGATACTAGCACACATGGAGGCTTCTCTGTTCCTCGCCGAGCAGCTGAGGATTGCTTCCCTCCTCTGGTACTTAAACCAAAAATTTAACTTCCTTTTTAGCATCTTCTTACATTTGCTCATTTTGAGAGATTAACTAAGTAATGATACGGTTATATAGGACTATAGCCAGCCCCGGCCTTCTCAGGAGCTTCTTGCTAGAGATCTTCATGGCCTTGAGTGGCGATTTCGCCACATTTATCGAGGTAAATTTTGTTGCCTTTCATGTTGCTTTTGAGACAGTAACAGCTGAGAAGTTTGAATGGTTTTTGAGTGTCTTATAGGGCAACCAAGGAGGCATTTGCTCACTACTGGGTGGAGTGCGTTTGTGAACAAGAAGAAGCTTGTCTCTGGAGATGCTGTTCTTTTCCTCAGGTAGTAAGAAAAGTTTGACTCTTTTTTCTCCCTGCTAACAATAAAAACCCTCTTTGATTTCTTGTTATTAGAGGATTTTGTGATATGGATTTCTGTGATGCAGAGGTGATGATGGCAAACTTCGACTGGGAGTGAGAAGAGCTGCTCAAATCGAAGGCGCTTCTGCTTTCTCGTCTCCGTATAATAATCAGAACATGAACCACAACAATTTCGCTGAAGTAGCTCATGCCATATCTTCTCATAGCGTTTTCAGCATTTACTACAACCCCAAGTAAGCTCCAAACCACAAAAGTTTTGCATTTTCAGCTTTTAAAAGATAACATTTTGGAACCACAACCGAGGCCTTAGTTATGCATTTTTCTTGTTGATTGTTTGCTTAAAAAGTTTTATTTCAAGCCAAGTCTCAGTAATACATGATGTTCTTTAAAACTAGTCAGTTCCATGAAGTTTGCATTTTTATTACTTTCCTGAAATTGCAATTGTAACATATTGGTGTAAACCTTTACAGGGCAAGCTGGTCAAACTTCATAATCCCTGCACCAAAGTTCTTGAAGATTGTTGACTATCCATTTTGTATCGGTATGAGGTTCAAAGCGAGGGTTGAGTCTGAAGATGCCTCTGAGAGAAGGTTATTATAGCTCAAGTCTTAAGAGAATCTTGCAACACCTGAGTTTTTTAATATCCTAATGTTTCTAATAATGTTTTTGTCAGATCCCCTGGGATTATAACAGGAATCAGCGACTTGGATCCTATCAGGTGGCCTGGTTCCAAATGGAGATGCCTTTTGGTAAGCTATGAATTATGATCTTTTTTTTTCAAGAAGTCACGATAAGCTTGGTTGCTTGCACTGAGACTGTGTGTTTGATGTCATATTCAGGTAAGGTGGGACGACATTGAGGCAAACGGGCGTCAACAGCGAGTCTCACCATGGGAGATAGAACCATCTGGATCAATCTCAAACTCAGGCAGCTTCATAACAACTGGTCCCAAGAGAAGCAGGATTGGCTTTTCCTCAGGAAAGCCTGACATTCCTGTCTCGGGTATATACACACATCCTTCTTTCCTTTACCTGCTTATATATTCAGTTCTTGATTTAACGTTTTCATTGGTTTCTGCCTCTCTTTCAGAAGGGATTCGAGCCACAGACTTTGAGGAATCATTGAGATTCCAGAGGGTCTTGCAAGGTCAAGAAATTTTTCCGGGTTACATCAACACATCTTCGGATGCTGGTGCCGGTGCAAGGAGAGGACGTTTCAAAGGAACGGACTTTAGTGACTCTTATGGTTTCCATAAGGTCTTGCAAGGTCAAGAAACTGTTCCCTCCTACTCGGTGACCGATCATCATCATCATCGGTCTCAAGGGTTGAGCCAGAGGAACATTTGGTGTGGTCCGTTTCAGAACTTTAGCACCAGAATCCACCAACCATCTTCGGTTCACGTTTCATCATCGCCGTCTTCCGTCTTGATGACCAACTCTAGCGATCCTAATCATCACGGAGGTTCAGGGAGGTGCAGGCTGTTTGGTTTCCCATTGACAGATGAGACAACGGCGGTTGGGTCTGGAGCAGTTGTGCCTTGTGTTGAAGGGCAAAATGGGAGTTCAATGAAAGGTGGTGCTGGTGTTGTTCAGAGCGGTCATCATCATGCACAGGGAAGGGACATATATACCATGAGAGATATGTTGCTAGACATTGCTCTCTAGGGTGGTTCTTTGATTTCCGTGTTCGTTTGTTTTTGCTTGTGGGTTAAGTTAAGTTCTTATTTTTAGTTGATTTATTATGATGATGATCGATGACTTGCTGCTAACTTTTCGGATGTTACAAGTTTGATGAGTTTTGGAGACTTGTAAACTTTGGGCGCTATGTTGCAAGAATGGTTTTTTTGTTTTAGGTTGAAGTTATAAAAAAACTAAAAAGTATTTCGACTTTGATTGTTTCTGGTTCTGTGCTCTTTTTGTGTCATCATTATCTGGTATTGGCTACTGAAGTTAAATTGATAATGTGATCAAGTGAATGTGCATCTTTATTCCTAAGTTAAATGTTTTGAAACCCTCCCTATTGCTGGTAATGACTTCGAATTTGGCTCTAAACCGGGAACTCTCTTGTAGTTTACCAATTTGTTGAAAATATTCTTTACTAGTTCTAGCTTGAAATGTAATTTCATAGTTCATGACTTGCATGTGTTCTCTACGTATAGGTTCACTTATGCTTGTAGACTTGTAGTTGTAGGTTGAAGTCTTGGACCATTTTTATATTCTTTTCTCTTTTAACGTAGTGACCACATTCATATTCTTTTTTTTGTTTGTATATATTTTAACGTTTTTTCTTTTTTCTTTGATTGTTCCATTGAGTACAAATACTCGTAAAAAAAAAAAGATACTGTGAATATGTTACGATATGTCTGACAAACAAGAAACTTACGTAGAGATCTATGATCTGATCATTCGTGCGTGTTGCTATATCCATGCTTTGGTCCCCAACAACCCAACAACTGTCTCATGAGTCATGAGTAAAGAACAATTTAGTATCTGGTTTGTTCCGGTTATTTCCGGTTTAATTCGAATTTCTATCTGAATCGGAAGAGGCCCAACAACACCAAAGAACACACACTCTCTCTCTGCCTCTCGATCATAATCCAAAAGAAGAAAACAAATGGAAGAGACGACATGGGAACAGAGACTACAAGCCGTGACTCACATCCTCACAAACCCAACAACAAATCCATCTCTTCACTCTCAGTTCTTGATCGGAACCTTAATCCCATGTTACATCTCGTGGGACTACCCACCGATCCTCTGTCACTCTTCGCGGACGCATCTCCGTCAATGGTGGGTCTCTCAATTCCTCAAAAGGGCACCGAGATTCGGACTTGCTGACACCTCGTGGAGATCGAACTGCCCGTATTACCAGCCGCCGGCGGCGATTATGGCAGCCGGAGTGGAGGAAGGAAAATGGGGAAGTGAGGAGAGGAGAGAGTACGCGAGGAAGAGGCTGAGGAGGAAGAGATTGGTCAGCGAAGTGAATCCTTTTATTCCTCTGTTAGTTCCAAATCTGCTTCTCTTTACTCTCTTGTTATGGGATCCTCTTCCTGAGTAAACATTTCATTGATCTTTCTGTAATCTGTTAATACGGTTATTTCCGGTTTAATTCGCATTCTATCCGAACCGGAAGAGAACAACTCTCTCTCTGGATAGTCAACCTTTGCTTTTATTGTCTTGTGTGTCAATATCATAACCATATCTTTGTTTCTTCTCCTAATTTTATTAATTGATTACTTTGATTAATTTTCTTCATAGAAGATCTATGGAGACGATTTCTGTTTTTGGGCAGTTGAGATGTAACTAAATGTTGTCTGAAGGGAGAAGTACCAACTCTCCCATACTTTGCAGAAGTCAATGTTAGCTTGAAATATTTAAAGCATTTGTTTGTTTTGGGTAAAAAAATTAAGGTATTACGAACGAACTATGTTTGCTTATTTATGGATCATCACCCAATATTAGTGTGAGATCTGGCATATAAACAGATTTTAACACGCTTTGCAAAAATAGTGCCAGCCCCAAAATCTCTTTGAAAGCATGCATGGAGGTTATATTCATTATCCTGAAGTATTTTCACAAAATAAACACATTGTTATCTTACAATATCAGGTATTAATATATCATGTAACTAAAGATTTGGGGTTAGTTACCATTTTCTGATTATATAACTATATAGGCCAAAAAAGTCAAGCTACCTCTTTGAAAATCATCTCATCCCGATGGAGCCCCATCAACCATTATCACCAATTCACTCCTTATATTCACCTAAAACACTCTATAGAGAAAAAAAAAGTTCAATCAACCAAAAAGAAGTACCTTCTTCTCCTATATATAAACACTCCCACTTTCTCTCTCAATCCCAAAAAGAAGTACCTTCTTCTCCTATATAAAAAGTTCAATCATGGCATTTCCCACTATATCACAACTCTTCTTCTTCTTCTTAACACTACTTCTTTTCTTCACCCAAATCAATGCAAGAGACAGCTACTCCTTTGGCAAGTTCCAGAGAGAAAACCCCAAAGACCAAAACCGTAACAATCTTGTCCCTGTCCAAACCAACGAGAAGAACGAGCAAGACGACCAGAACCCTACCTTTCTCCCCGAGTCCGGATACGGGTACGGCTTGTACGGACACGAGACAACCTACAACAACAATGAAGAGTTGAACAATAAAAAGTACGAGGAGAACGTTAACTACGGTGACTCTTTCTCCACCCCAAGCCTAAGCCAAACGCAAGAACCTTACAAGAACTACGAAGAGAACTACCCTAAGACGACAGAGAGTTACGACGACAGCAGCAAGGACACGAGTTACTACGAAAACTCCAATGGTTACGGGACGGAGAAGAGAGAGAAAGAGACCTACGACAAGAGCTATAGCAACAACGTAGAGAGACAAGGGATGAGCGATACGAGGTTCATGGCCAACGGTAATTACTACTTTGACCTTGACGACGACAGAAACCACGGCCGTTTCTACCAGAATCATCATTACAACTATAACCCCACGGGCTACAATGAGAAGGACTCTAGCTTCAAGAATCAGTACAGTTCCAAGAACATGATGAACCAACAGTCCAAGATGTCTGGGGAAGAGCAAGGAGATCAGTTTACTCCTTAAGCATGTTCACATGCCTCATTGCCACCTATATTTATTTTCAAGAAACAGTGTTTGCTTATATATATTTTTGAATTTGTTTTCAAGACTAAATGTCTGATTGTTTTGGTTTGGTTTTAATGTCTGATTGTTTTATCCGTCAAAACTATAAATTTGGAAAAATAAAAATAGTATATGAAGCTATTTTTTTATGCTATTTATTAACCACAAGACGAGTTTATTCACCAGAATAGTGAGCATGAAATGAATGTCCTGATTTTCTAAAATATTTATGTGTTATATTTTTCGTGGATGGACAAATTTTGTAATTTTTATGCGTTTTGGAGCTAATTAACCGGATATCTAAACAAAACAAATGAAATGCTGAGTTAGCAAATATTAAAACCCCTTGAGCCATCCACACACGTGACATGCACGCTACCATTTTTAGCATTAGATTACCTTTTGGTCAAAAAAGTCAAAACCCTACACAAGACATTCATCCTAAATCGAAACTTTCGATGTCCGCCGCCAGGTCCTTCCTCCTCCGATCCGGTGGCGGCCGAGCCGCCGTAACCGCGTTTCGGTCGACGAAGCCAATGGCAGCTTCTGCGCGGTCTCCTCCGTTAAGGATGCCTAAACAGAACCCTCTCTCTCACCGTATCTTCAGGTAAAAAAAAAACAGAGTAAACCAAAACATCGATTTTGCCTCTGTTTATCTCATTTTTGATTCTCAACTCCGAAATGTGGAAAAGATCTCCGGTGGAATTGAGCTGCTGCGTCGAGACGATGCTTCCGTATCACACTGCCACAGCTTCTGCGTTGCTCAATTCCATGCTCTCAGTTTCACGCCGATCCATTTGGACCTTCGGAGGTACTTTCTCATTTCTCTTCTGCTCAATCACATTTTGAGTCTCACTGTAAAGAACTGATTCTAGTATCGTAGACAAGTTTGTCACATTTTCATTGCTTACTGAAAGATATTAGTGAAAATAAAGATATTTGATATTCATACATAATTGTGCACTTCTTTAATTTGTTGCATTGTTATAGCCTTCTTCTTGTTATATGATACGTTTTGACAAATCTTTAGCAAAACTTCAAATGTTTTCTTGCATACAATGAGAATTTCTCAACTATTTCTTTTCTAGGGGAAGATGATAACTGAGGGATAATCATCAAGAGCCATGTAAGCTATTTATCATGAGAAACTTGATGTGCCATCATCATCCCTTGTAGTATCTAAAAGCAGATTCATATAGGCCTTCTCTTTTCAGAAAAGTAGCCATCTTCTATGAATAAAAAGTTCTTTGGTACAATTGATTGATTTTTTTTGGTATGATTACTGTTTCACATGAATTGCCAATTGTAACTATCATGAATCCCTCTCTCTCTTATCGCATGCGGTTATGTGTTTGTATTACTGATATGTTCTATTTACTCAGATTGCAACGATGATACATGATGAATTTCAATTTATGGACAGTGCAAGAATGGATGCAGTTTAAAGGAAGATGATTAAGTGAAGCTTCTTCTTTTCAACATGTAAAGTAAATGAGACAGTAAATCGAGTCCTATTTCTTCTTAGATCATAAGATCCACTTTTAATCTTCAAGATTGTCCACAAGAGATTTGTTGTTATACGCAAAAACTTTACCAAGATTTTTCATTAACCTCTCCGTTCAAGGACAATACAAAAGCATCCACAACTGAAAGAGTAGTACATACCGATTTGATATATCGTTGCATCCAAACGCGAAATCAACACAAATCTTACCACCAGTAGATAAAAATAGCAAACTTGCAACATGATAAGAGATAAAAATATAATGTACCATTCTTTCTTCATTTCATTTGGCTCCTCCGTACAGACCGCAAAAACAAAACTCATTGTGGCGCTTTGACATTACCTATTAGACAGATCATTCATTCATCAACATTGACGAGCTCATACTCCACAAGGGACAGATTGTTGTCCTCTTTCACAGTTATCTCAGCCGGTTCAGTGACCTCGACACGACCCCATTTGTCAACAGCAAGCCTCATCGATCCCTTGAACATATCTATCTTTGCGTTCCTGAGTATCACTGTTGTTCCTGGCTTCATCAAGTCCACTGGACCGAGAAATTACATACAAGAAGTTAGCAAAGTGATCCACTTTGAATCACCAATTGAATATCAGAGCAGCACAAATCCTAGAGAGTGTATTTCATCAACAAAAATCTCTAACTCTAGCAAATCAATGCGGGTTCCAAGAGAAAAGCTTCAAGTGTCCAACATTTGAGATCTTAAACCCAATAGCTACAATGTTTGAAGCATCAATTATTCCATCTTCGAACAAATTTTGGTACGCTACTAACTTTTGATTGACATTTGGAATGTGATACAGTTGGTTTATCGGAGACTGAGAGATGTAAGATAGATTCGAACAGACTTCAATTTCAAAGAATCGTTAAGGCTTTGAGAGGTAATTCGAAAACAGTAATGGATAGAGAAACCACAAATTTGCAACAGAGAATCGGAATCGGATTAACTTCACCTTGATCGTTGCGAGCGGTAAAGAGGATGGAAGCAGTCTCGTCACCAACAAGACACTCAGAGATCCGAGCAGGTCGGAGGTGAGAAGAGGCAGCGCCGGGCTTCTGAGGAACGAGATTCTGATCGACGACCTTAACGGTCAAAGTGTGGCCCTTCGTGCCCGGTTTAAGCTGATCCACCTTGACGAACACCGGTTTCCTCTTCTCCTGCACGCCCTGAGTCGTCTGCTGTTGTTGCTGCTGAGGCTGATACTGAGTTCGCGTTGACGACGACGGAGGCGGCGGGTTTCTCCCTTGTCGACGCGGCGGAGGCGGTCCGTTTCTCTGCCTTGGTCTTTGCTGGGAGTCGTCGCTGGTGTTTGACGCCATTTGGGACTGTGAAGAAATCTCGAAACGAACAAAATTGATTGAGGATTTTCTCTCTGAGTTTGCTGTGATGTTTATAGAAGAAAGCCCTAGAAAGAAGACTTCTGAGACTTTTTAGTGGAATTTACTATTTTAATTTGTTTTTTAAAAGGAAAGAAAAAATTAACGAAAATGGAAGCAGGGAGTCGACGCAGCCACGTCAAAGAAAAAGATATGAGATTTAGAATCAAATGGGCCCTCGAAATATGATCCCAATGCTAAATGGGCCTAGACGGTGCTTTTTGAAAAATGGAATTTCTTTAATAAAAGTTTGCAAATAGTCTCAATTTTTTTTTATTTGTTTAAGTTTCTGCATACAAATTTCAAAAACTGCATTTTATTGAACCAAAACATTGGAGATGGCAGCAAGAATCTAATAATAACGAAAAAAGAAAAATAATCCAGGTTTTACACCAAGTCTTTTTGAGAATAACTAAGTTTAATAAGTAAGATATATGTTTTGCTGAAAGATGAAACACACGAAAGGTTCTTGCTCTGTAATTTTATTTGGTGACTCTGTAAGCCTACACAAAAAAAACAAAACCCATATGAGTGAGAGATTCATTCTTATGTATACAAAATTGACAAACCAGGAAACGTATATGTGATCTTTCACATTACCTTGACTTGTTTGAGCAGATTCTTGGCGCGAGCGTCTGTTTTGAAATGATCACGAATAGGCTGCAATATTGGTTCAAAAAGGAGTTAAAATGATTCTGTGGTTGACTCTAAAACTACTAAAAAGATTTTCCGAATAATTTGTTTCTATGTAATTGCTAATATGAGAGACTCATGAAGCTGTAAGTTTTTACTTACTTGCAAGATCTTATTCAACGCGTTCGTTAGACCTTTCTTCAGATCCCCAGGATGCAACTCGCCGCTCTCGTACTCAGCAGCAATATCTTCAAAGTTATTGTAGGTCCTGAACATTTGAAAGAAATTCCACAGCAATGAGTTTCACCATTTTAGTGGCATGCGTATTAGCTTAAAATCCATAAACTGAGCAAGCAATTCAGAGAAAGTTTACAAATAAATGTTAAAAAAAAAAACTCACTTGTTACCGCCGTATTCTTCGTTTCGCTCAACAGTGAACTCATCAAACCAAGGTAGGATGATGTACTGAATGTACTCGAGGCATGGATTGCCTTGCACAATCTTTGGAGGACAGTAAGCTTTCTTGATCTTCACATTAACTTCAGCCTGAGGACGACAAAACACATTCAAAACTAGCCTCAATAACTGCAAATCTTCTCTGCTTTTGTATACTTAGAAAGTTGGATTAGTTAAGAGTTACCTCCTCATCTTCCATAAAGATGGCAGATAAAGGATCACTCTTGGACATCTTTTCTTGTCCTTGTTGGAGACCAGGAAGCATATCTGCAAGTCGTCACGGCAAAAACGATGATTTCAAAGATATACCAGGATATATATGACATAACAGGAAGTCAAACAGAAAAATGTAGAGCATACGGTGTGACAAGACTATCGGTTTGTTTTTCTTCTTTATGTCATCACAGTATTCTCTCGCTAGCATGTTCACTTTTCTTTGATCCATCCCAAGCTGGCAAATATCAGCCTGCACATGTAAAGCAACATTACATTAGAGTAAAACTCAACTATACACACAACCAACAAAATCTCCCAATCATATATGGTGAAGCTTTTATCAGGTGTTGTATCAACAATGTAACATACTTTTCGCTGAGGTAAAGGTAAAGCTTAATTCTCAATTCCAAGTAACTAGAGACAGACTCGAAAGACAGTTCACGAGCAAGAGAAGTCTTAACTAAAGACGAATACATAAAACAAAAAGTACCTCGAGGAAGAAAATATCAGCACACTGCATGCATGGGTAGAGGATCTGGGCAGCACTCATTTCATCTTTCTCATTACGTCCCATAATCGTCACACACCTGCGAAGACAAGAAACAGATTCATTCAGGTCTCATCATTTCCCTCACATAAATGCAGTGACCCCAACCCAAGCATAGAGAAGATTAGAAAGAAAAAAAAGGTAACCTTGTGATCCTAGGGAGTTTGTTTCTGCGAGCAATGTCCATCACAATAGGCCAGTACTTGTCCGCCCTCGCATTGATTTCCTCGGACGACCACAGAAACTCAACATTGTCGCCGTTCATCCCAGCGGCCTTCCATATCTCTTGGAAGTATTCTCCAACCACTCTGATTTTCTTCAAGTCACCTCCCATTTTGTTGTTCAACTGAGCAAACCAATCAGCAATCCAAATCTTCACTCTGCAACCAGCTGATGTCAATTTGTTCACATTGATCACCTTCATCACTCCCTATTAAGAACAAAACCACACAACGAAGCAGATTTAGCAGAAGCTCGGCAATCAAAGTAAACTGAAAACACCTCTATTCTGGAAGATGAGCACTACTAATAAAGCCCTCTTGAATCGAAAAACGCAAATCGGAGAAAACGATAACTGACCTGAGCAATGTGCATCCTTCCCGATGGTTCAAACCCGTCGTAGCAGATCGGAGTAGCCTTCTTAGCAAGAAGATTCTTCAGCTCATCGTCTTGAACGCATTCCTCACCGATACTTCTAACAATCTGGTACCTCTTAGCAACTTCTTCACTCATCCTGGAATCAATCAAGTTTATAAATCCACCAGAAGCAACAAGCAGATACCAATTCAAAAACTGGAGAATTTTCAGGTTTACAATGAATACTACTTTTAGTTCTCGATCTTTTTGACCTAGAATCGCTATAACCGAAACAAGGAATCAAATAATCTAACCCGTTAAAATCGATAAACTCATGAAGGTGGCAAACAAAAAGACGAGAAGACTCACTCTATTCCAGGGGTCGAAGAAGACGGCTGAGCTGGTGAAATCGAAACAGCCTCCATATCCGACGACAGAGTGTTTGCGATATCCGGAGATTGCTCCGCCATTAAAGCTATCCGGCGGCGGAACGAAAGACAATTAGGGTTTTTTTGTTCACTGATTCTCAATGTGCGATAGTGACGGAGGATTCTTAGGTTTATCAATGACATTGACGATTTAGCTAACGTATAATAAGACCACTACGCTTCACGTTTGCCACGGTTTCGGTTCGGTTCGGTTCGGTTTTCTTTTGGTTTGATTTGGTTAACTCAATTTTAATTATGTTTATTAGAATGGGCCTGAGGCCCAGTAAACAAAAAGAAAAATAACACCGTATTGTATCAACGGTGGTCTCGCTAAGTCGCTACCAAACGTATTCTCTGGGGGATCAGGAGGACTCGCGAGACTCGCCTGAGCTTGGTCACCGATCACGCCGCAGTATTTTACCACTCTAGCTCGCCGGAAGACGTGCTATCAGAGACTTTCGAGATGTCTGATTCCGATATGGACATTGATGATGACGAGGTCCAAGTACACGTGAAGAATACAATTGCAGGAGATTCTAAATTGCTCGGTAGACCAATTGAAGCTTCCAATTCCCAGAACGGTTAGTTTTTAAACACGGTGTTATTGATTTTTGCGTTCAAGTTCGTGAATTGAATTGATTGATAACACCTCTATGCAATTGCAATTTAACTCTGTTCTGATGATGAATGAAATTAGGAGATTGTAGCAGGAGTGGATAATTATACGCATATGATTTGTTCTAGAACAGAGAAAGGATTATGAAATTAACTGGGTTTAGCTCAAATTATGATCTTTGTGTCTTGGGATTGTAGTTTTGAAGAAGCATTCAGATGAGCAATCAAAGATCACGAAGGATTCAAGCAGCAGCTTCGAAAAATCACAACTTTCTGGGAAGACTGTTATGCTGGGAGATGAAAGTAGGAGGTTAGTGTATAGTGGTGGACAGAAGTTGACCTTTGTGTATTTTTGCATCTTTGAAAGCTTTTATATAACTGACAGAAGATTCTCGGTTTTCTCAGATTTCCAGCTCCTTGTACAACGGCGACAAGCTTTCCGTCCGGGAACGAACCAGAGCAAAAACGAGCAGCTCATCTTTGCAAGTTTTTCGCTAAAGGGTGGTGTAACAAAGGCAACTCTTGCAAGTTTATTCATGTGAATAATCTAGCTGGAACCAGTGTTATCCCGTCTGTTGAAGGTATGTGATTACCATAAGATTGTGATATGTTTGCTCTTCATGGAGCAACAAATAATTTATTTTGCTTGTGTTCATTTCAGAAAGAAGAACATTGGAGATCAAAGGAGGTGTAAGAGTTTCTCTGTTGAGAGAAAATGGCGTGACCTCTTTGCAAACAAGAGATAATATACATTTGGTGAATCCCCCAGCTTTTCAAAGAGTTTTCCTTCCCATGAACGTGGCAAGAGAGTCTCTGAGGCAAAACTGTGGTGGTGATATCACTGAGAGCAGGTCTTTGTTTGTTAATAACAGCAATCCCTTCGCACCGAGAAGTAGCTTTGCTCACGAACCTAGACCTTCTTCTATCACTTCTGCACCAGCCTGGACAGGATCAGGGTTCACTTCTGCTCCTATGAACGAGTATGCTTCTAACTTGGGGCATTTTGAGAACCGGACTAATATCTACGGGTCTGTATCACGTGCAACGCTGCAAGCGATACCTGTTTCTTCCGATCAAGACGCAGAAGGCAACACTACTAGCAGTAAGAAGAAAGTTTCTGCACCAGCCTGGACAGGATCGGTGTTCACTTCTGCTCCTTTGAATGAGTATGCTTCTAACTTGGGGCATTTTGAAAACAGGACTAGTATCTATGGATCTGGATCACTTGCAACACTGCAAGCGACACCTGCTTCTTCCGGTGAAGATGCAGCAGAAGGCAACAACACTACTAGCAGTCAGAAGAAGGTTTCTTCAAATGATTGGGAAGCTTCTGAGCCTTTTAAACCATCTTTCACAATCCCACCTTATATACTTCCCTCGTCTGATGCACTATACGAGGATATAGAGAGTCCAGAAGACAGATCTCTTAATGCTCCATTGTCAAGTAAAGGGAAACATGCACGGAAAGCTTCCCGCCTGCAGAAAGATGGCGATTCCTCTAGTGGTCCTCAAGCACGAGGTAGCAATAATGATGATAAAAACAGTTCATGCAGTCAGAATCAACATCAAGAAACCGGGGCGAGGAAGAAGTTGGATGCGTACGGAGTAGTGGAAGGCGTGGCTACTTCAGTGGTTGATCAGAATGATGCAACAACACCAAGCAAAGAGATTTCTTCTTCGGCGGCTGCAGAGACCAGAGTTGTTTTGAAAAGAAGCAAACCTGCAGGGCATGAATCTTGGCGTAGAAGTGATGGATCTTCACATCAAAAGATGATGCCGAAATCAGATGAGGTAGATGGTGAAGTGAGGTCAGATGCAGGAACGAAAGTGATGAGACAATTCCGGACCGCAGTTGTGGAAACCATTAAAGAAATGTTGAAACCGTTGTGGCGTGAAGGTCGTCTCACTAAAGATGTGCATAACATGATAGTGAAGAGAGCTGCTGAGAAGATAGTCAGCGCCGCTGTCCAGTTCCATCAGGTGCCGACTGACACCGTATCAGTTGAGCAATATCTAAGCATGTCTTCACCAAAAATTGTGAAGCTTGTCGAGGTTAGTTTCTTCTTAGACACTTGAGCAGGTGGTAAAGTATTGGATTAATCTGATAATTCCTTCTGTTCATTTGCAGGGTTACGTCGACAGGTATGGTAAATCCTGAGGTTATCATCAGATGAAATGCCACTAGCATTTGGTGGCATGAGCGCAAGTTATGATGATGTTCTTTGTAAATTATGCCATCCTTGTTTTCCTCAGTTAGGACTTTAGCACCTAATTTTTTGGGGGTCTCCATTCTTATCCTTTACCAATAATGGATGAAGGTTGGAAGTGGAGCTTCGTGGAGGAATTGTGTATAACGTTGTAAAACTCTTCAAAGCTTGGTTTTTATGGCTAATGCTTAGAAACAGCTTTTGTCACAGTTAGAAATATAGTTTAATGATTTTTCATTGATTGTAATCTTCTAGAAATAAAATGTGATAGAGAGAGGGCTATATTATAGTTATTCTTGTGTTTGTTGGTTGATTTGGAAGCAGATGAAAGGGAAAAGAGACAGAAACGGAATAATGTTGAGGTATGTTTCTTGATCATCTCGACTCTATTTCTTTGTGTAGGCATGGAACCAAAGCAATTATTAATCAGCTTTACAACAAAAATGAAAGTGGTATCATGATCTGATTGGTGACTTAAAAACAGTAAGGACTTTTTTAGCAGTAAGAAAGAGAGTAAAAATGATGCAGACACGTTACTTAATGTATTGAACACATCTGTTTTTCCAATAATACTTTTCCACTAAAGCTTGGGATACTTTGATTTAAGGGTCCCATTTCATGACTCCATCGTTCTTATCCATTATCTTCATCTCTATCCACATCTCATTTTATTATTGCCACTCTCCTCCCTCACTGCTCTCATTCCTCTGATTATTTATTTTACAATATTAATTAAGGTCGTATACTTCATATTTACTATACATTAAATTTGGCTACTCGCATCCTAAAATATGCAAACAAACTAACAAATTTACAGAGAAGCATGCGCTACCAAAACTGGGCTAATTTTATTGTGTTACAAATGGTGTGAAAGTAGTAAGACATACCAAATAGATATTTGGGTTAGTTAGGTGGTCAGGTAGATAAATGAATGAAACCGAGAAACACACAAGTTGGAAGAACTTGTGCAAAAATAGGAAAGGGATAATAAGAAGTGAGAAGTTACAAAATTCACTGCCTTAATTAGGTGATATATTATTAGTGTTGTTACTGTAATTTTTATCAAACAATATGGTAACTTGAGTTTGTTAAATAGAAAAACGACATACAAAATTAAGTAACGTGGAGGAAAAAACTAACTTATGAATACATGATGTGTACCATACAACTACTACCAAAAGTAATGTACATGTAAACATATATGTTAAAGATAGATTCTAGTTTGTGCAAATACTCAAACTTCATTTGATAATTATCCAATTATATCTTATATACTGTTACGTCCCTAGATATTTTATGGGTGAAAAAAGAAGATATTTTCATAAATAGTTGTGGGTCTATAAATGAGATGAAGCCAGCCATGAGTAAGTAAGTACTTCACACTTGATATATTATCCGTCACTGCTAAATAGATAAACAAAAGCAAAGAAAAGAAAAACAAGATGTGGGATGAAACTTTCGCCGGACCGAAGCCGGAGCATGGCCTTGGCCGCCTCCGCAATAAGATCACAACCCAACCCCTTGACATCAAAGGTATACATAATACACTTATAGTCTTATACACAATACACATATTTGTTAGTAACCGATAAATTCTGGACTTCAGGTCCATAGTATCTTTTTAGACATGAACTTAATAAAATAAATTACGTGATCTTGGAAAAGGTGTAGGAGAAGGGAGCAGCAGCAAGACTTGGCCGGTGGCGGCGGGGAGTCCAGGAACTCCGACGACGCCCACGACGCCGGGATCAGCACGTAAGGAGAACGTGTGGAGGAGTGTGTTTCATCCAGGAAGCAACATAGCCACCAGAGGAATGGGCACTAACCTCTTTGACAAGCCTTCTCACCCAAACTCTCCCACCGTCTATGACTGGTACTTACTTACTTTTTTTATATTATTAGTCATCGATCAGAAACTTTCTCATCGGACGGTTGAGATCAGACTCAGACCTGATATGTTATGACCGTTGTGATCCGCAGGCTTTACAGCGACGATACCAGGAGCAAGCACCACCGTTAAACCGAGAGGGTGTAGTGACATGCCGGTGAGGTGATGCAAGAAGTTCATGTCTTCTGATCGCCACGTGTCTGTTTACTCTTTTGGCTGTATTCGCAACTTTTTTTTCTTCTCTTTCTTGTTTGATAGTGACCGTTTGATCAACTCTGTCTTGGACGGTTTTAACGGTGACGATGCGTCCTCATGTCTCTTGTAATGTTTATAGTGTTCGGTAATAATAATTGTTATATTTTTTGTTTAACTTTTAGCTTCCAATGATTCATTTAGATAACGATGGAATATAACTCAACTATGGCCTAGCATAATGGAATTTGACATGACTGTGGTTGATGTTTTAAACTCCATTGTATAACAAAAGACTTTAATCATGGTTAGATGAATTTCTTGGTGTCAACAAGCAATTATGATAGTGATTTAATCAAAGTTTAATACAAGCCCATGGATCTAGTTATAAATTTATAACTAAGGCCCACTAGATCCAATTGAAGGTGATTTTCTGTTTGCCAATCCAATTGTGAGTTGTGTGATACATGAACGGTGTGTCGGGAATTGCTTACAAAATAAAAATGTTAAACAAAATGTTAGATCTTGATCATCAATTCTGAATTTCTGTAACAATCAAAATAAGTTAATTGCTTACAAAGTACTCTCCTACTTCAGTTTATCTCAATTCTCAAAATGTGTGCTAAAATGGGCTTGACTCGGGAATGTTTATTTGGGTTACTATGTTGTGATCGGACACAAAATTATCATTTTAACTGTTAGTTTTGTGTATGGACCGCAAATGCTCGAAATTTATTTCTGGAAATCATTTTTTCAAACCAAATATAAAACTTTGAATTTACACTACAATCTTGAATCTTCCCAAAAAGAAAGAAAACGAGGAAGAGGAGGATCACGATGGGAGAGGGTTTAGGGGGTTACAAGGAATATGTCGCCGGAATGATGGCTGGTCTCGCCACCGTCGCCGTTGGCCACCCTTTCGACACCGTCAAGGTATCTCAATTCCCAATCCCAATTTCGACCTTTCTTCTTCACATTTGTGTTTTTACCTGGTTTATACCAAATGGGTATATACATGTTTCATATTTCAATTCAAAGGATTATGCTTCCTACACGATTTCCAAATCCAGCTGCTGAATGTTTGCTCTAATTACTGATGCATTGGTGTGAGAAAGTGTTCTACACTCACTAGAGCATTGATCGATGTAGATATCACTTATGTGTTAATTGTTACCTGGGAATCTTAACATCTCTCTCTGCTGCTCTACTTAGTTTTAGTTTAGCGGTTAAGCAAAGAAGATAACAAATCATTCAATGACAATGAGGGTTCTTCTGATGCCTCCCGGACTTATTTGGGTCTGTTGCTTCTGCGCTGCCTAGGCATNTCAAAGCTTCATTTTTTTTGAATCTCAACCTACTTTGCTCTGTTTCTCTTTTGCTCTGCATGTGATGAGATTTGGCCGAGAAACTAATTTCTCTTTGTGAGATTTGATGTCTCTTGCAAGAAGTAGCAACGAGAGGCAACCTTTTTCAGGCAGCCGTGGAAAAGACCGAGGGGAAGAAACTGATGACTGAAGAGGGCTTCGACAGCAAGAAAGGCGGCAGATCCGCCGTCATGAGAGCCAAGGACTACAAGAACATCTTCAAGAAGATGCCCTTTGTGGGGACGAGGTATCCGGACCAGTCAGCTATGGCAGATATCTGAAGACTGTCACAGCCTCTTCTAGAACATGCAGCTCGTGGGGCTGATGATGTCTCCTCAGCCGGCGTACGGAAAAGAAACCGTCGAGTTCCTTGCCTCCCTCCAAGTAAACTTCTACGAGCCCGACGAGATAACATGGAGGACAACGGTAGTGGTCACTTTTCCTTCCGGATCAACAATTGGAAGTATCGGATGAGTTTTCAGGACCTGTAGGACGTGTTCCATTTCGATCACAAGGAGGGCCGAGAGACAGAGTTGGATACTTCAGCAGCAGAACTCCAGGTCTTCTGGATGATGATTGGTATCGGCGAGTACAAGTCCAGCACGGCGAAGAGCACCCACATAAGGAATTCCACGCTGAGATACGTCCACAAGGCCCTCACTCACACCATTTATGCGAGGAGAGATGTGACAAACATCAACGAGAAGGAGCTTTTTCTGATGAACAATGGGGTGGTGAAGTTCTTGCACACGCTGCAGACGGAACAAAGATGGTTGAAGATCGGTCCGACAACAGCATGGCGACCTACCTGCTCAAGAGTTTCCTCAGCTACAGAGAGTATGCCCTTTCTCTGGACAAGATCGGAAAAGGAGGAAGTGGGCAGCTCAGTTGCGGAGGAATCATTACTCCGATATTGCTCCACTGCAGGAAAGACCTTGGGAAGATGAGCGCCGATCCTCTGCTTATGGACATCTAGTACCTCTGCAAAACCACTTACCTCAGAGGTCAGCCGATCAACGGGCGCCACAACTATCAGTTCGCTTACGGCCCGTTCGACTACGAGTTGGCGAGTTTCTTTTTGCCGAACAAGGAGTTGACTTACCTCACAGTTAGGGAGAACGTGGATTTCGAGCCGCCTATTGAAGCTATCCAAGAACAAGGCCAAGAGGAAGCTGATCATGTTAACCCGAGGGCCGCGGAGCGCGATGGAGAAATCTCAGGAGATGATGAGCTCCCAGATGAGTACAAAACCAGAGGTTCCACTTCGGGGATCACGAACTTGAGGAAGAAAGTGTGTTTGAGGAGACCCAAGAGGATGCATTGGCTCTCAATGGAAAATGTCTAAGCTCTTTCTTCTTTCCCTCATTAGAGACTAAGGAGATTGTGAGTCATTGTGAGAACAAGGATTAAGCTTGTAAGAAGAAGAACCAATCTCATGAGGAAAAGGGCTTGGATTATGGTAATACTGAAGAAGTTATAGGATGGAGCTTGCTTGGAAATTCTTTTCTCTACCACATTGGTGAAAGAGGTTAAGAATATCAAGGAGAAACAAGAGGTTAAAAGCAAAGAGTCTAAGAAGCCATATGAATACCACTTGATCAACCATGCTCCATCTTCTCAGACTATGAGCTTACACCCTTTGAGTACAGTGAAGTGCAAGGGTACTTCTAAACCTTTTTCACGTATTAAAGCCATTCTCCATCCCAAAATGCTGGAAAAAGACCATCGCAATCTTGAAGAGCTACTCTCCACAATCCTCTTGGTCAGCCTGATCAAGAGAACAAGTCTAGACTAATCAACTCATCTTGCCATCAGCAGCTCAACAAGGAGTTCTGCTACTCTTTCTCTCCAGCTCCCTAAGGACAAAGGTTAGGGCCAAGGTATGGTCCTCTCTCCATTGTACATATCACTCATCTCTTTCCTTTATTTTGATTGTCTTTTGTTTTGATCTCTCTTCTCTACCTTTTTTTCACACAAGGGACTGTATGAATTAAGTGTGGGGGAGAGAATCAATGATACTTGACGAAGTGTTTTGTGTTCTTATTTTCTTTTAGCGTCCTTGAGTCTCATGCATTCTCATCTTTGCATCATATAGAAAATCACATCAAATTTTCAAAAGTTGCATATATAAAAAAAAACACAGGGCATATAGTTTAGATTCATTTTACACTTGAGCATTCCTTGGTTGAGCAGATTGATTGAGTTGCGAAATTGATTCAATGGCCTAGTTCTATGTTGGTTTTGGCGCATGTGATTGATCTTGAAGTTAAGATAGAACCACACCAATAGAGAGCATCATGATCATCTTGGTAAAACTGAATGCATAGCTTTGATCTGAATCCACTCCTTGCTCAAGAGAACCTTAATATGATTTTAAATTATCATGCTCATGCTGGTTAAGTCTGCTCGTGGATTATACATACTTGAATCATCTTTGCATTATTGTTTATTTATCTTTGTTGATTCAAGTAGAACTCCCCTCCCTTGACCAATCATTTCCTTCAAGCCATATGTTTTGTGTGTTGTGAGGCTTCTTGGTGAAATCTTGGCATAGAGTATTAGGTCTTGAACCGATGATATCTTGCGTATTTGACGCATTCTAACCTTTGTTTTCACGAGTTTTATCGAGTCTTTCTAGTCTTTATCGAGTCTTTTCAGGTCTAAAGACGTTTCAGGGAGAGCTTTGGTCACATGGACCAACAACAGGCGAAAGCAGGCAAACAGGGCAAAAGGAGCTCGATCGATCCACTTCACAGATCGATCGATCCAGTGCAGGACCAAGTAGCTCGATCGATCCCATAGGAGGCTAGCCAGCTCGATCGACCCCATACGAGACTAGCCAGCTTGATTGATCCCATCATCTGCTTACAGCTCTATCGATCCCATAGGAGGCTAGCCAGCTCGATCGACCCCATCATCTGCTTACAGCTCGATCGACCCCATCATCTGCTTACAGCTCGATCGACTTTCCATGCACGCCATGCATCGATTAATCTCAGCCTTCCCATCTTCGCCGCGTCGATCAATCTCAGCGGTTCGATCGACTCCGGTTTTGTCATCTCAAACCGATTGAACCGAGCTCGACCCCGGAGTTATTTAGACCTATTATCAGCCATTGTTTAGGCCACGCTGTTTTTTCAGAGTTCTTCATTGTTTCTGAGGGAGAAGAATTCGCACCATTGTTTTCACAGTTTGGAGAAGATTTCTGAACCCTCTTGTTTGCTATTATTTTTGATTCAGTGACTTTCATTTCAGTTGTTGTTATCTGTTTTGCCATATCTGAGTAATCTTCCTGCTAGATCTAGGTTTTTCAAAGGAGTTCATGTGTTAACTAAATTGAATACAGATAGGGCCATCATATTGTCTTCACCACTGTTAAGTTTACTTCTTAGATCGAATTGATCACTCGATCTCTGATCTTAGATTTATCTATGCACCAAAAGTGTAATAGGTTGTTAGAACGAACTTTGGTGAGCGAATCGTCCTTAGCTTGCGAAAGTTGATGCTACGGCGATTCGTGAACATATCGAACCTGTGTGCATTGCTTGTCTTCAATTGCTAGATTCAAACGACAATTTAGACATCTAGGGTCTTAGTCAAAGTTGTTAATATCGCGACAGTGAATTGACATACTGTTTTGTTTGAGTTCGAGACTTGTTCTTTATTTGTGTCCTGAATAGTTGTTTGGTTGTTAACCGTGAATCTCCTGCGAATTGCCTTGATCTAGTGCTTGTTTTATTTAGTTTACATCAACGTTTACATTTGTCACTTGTTACAAAATCAATCATTCTTATCTTAGCTCTGTTTTGAACCTCCTAGATTCATAGTGTAACGCTGGTCCTCTGGATTTCGAATCCTTTATATTTCAACTTCATCACTGTATATTTGCAGTAGAGAAAATGATCTATGTTTAGACTATCAAATTTGGCGCCGTTGCGACGGGGACCAATTCGTTACCTTTGATTCTTGATTTAAAATCTAGTCTAAGATTTACTAACTTGTTCTCTCTCGTTCTTCTTGTGTGTGTTTCAAGTGCATGAACACTACATCTCGACGGAGTAACCGCAACGAAGATCTTCTCATCCTTTCCAACGCAGAACTTGCGAGAGTATAACGAGCAAACAGACAACAAAGGCCTAATCCCATCGATATGGGCGATAACGGCAATCCGAACATGACTGCTCAGTTGCAACAACTCCAACAGCAGATAGAGCAAATGCGGAAGGCTCAACAAGATAGAGAACCTTAACCACATGATGCCATTGGAGACAAGGACAACCCGTATACCTTCAGTCAAAACCGGTATGCGATTGTTCCTCCAGCCGTTCAAAGGCAAGACTTTGAGATCAAGTCGAGCATGATCGCGCTCGTCAAGGATCACCTCTTCCATGGACTACCTGCTGAGGTTCCAATGGACTATATCGAGAACTTCGAGGAGATATGCAGTACGACTAGCTCGAATGGAGTACCAGCTGACTTTCTGAAGTGCAAGCTATTCCCGTTCTCACTCGCCAACAAAGCATCTCGTTGGCTGAAGTCATTACCACCTGAGTTTTTGACATCATGGGCCCAATGTAGAGCGTCGTTTCTGGACCATTTCTACACTAAGGCCAAGACTGCAGGTCTGAGGACTAAGATCTCATCTTTCCAGCAGTATGAAGGTGAAGCTTTCTGCGAAGCATGGGAAAGATACATAGAGTATAGAAGAGCGTGTCCTCATCATGGATACACTGATGAGAAAATCCTGAGCATCTTCTATGACGGAGTCAACTGGGACTACATGAATGCTTTGAACTCAGCCAGCAATGGCGATTTCATGACTAAGTCCAAAGAAGGTGCATTCGAGCTGATCGAGAATCTTGCAGCGAGCTCTAGCAACAAGAACGCTGAGTACGACAGAACAATGAGCACTGTATCAGTCAAAGGAAGCGGTGCTGAAGCGAAGAAAATTGAGGAACTCATGGCCAAAGTGAATCTACTAATGAAGGCGCAACAGAAGTCTGTTCATTTTGTTGACGAAAATGATGATTCACCTATCTCTCAAGAGTTTGGAGGAGAAGAGGATGAAGATGATCAGATGGAGGTCAACTATGTGAATGGGCAAGCTTTTGCGCAGAACCATAGCTTCAACTCGAACTACAGGAACCATCCGAACATGTCCTACAAGAGCACCAACGTCGAGAATCCTCGGGATCAGGTCTATCCGCCGCGATCGAACCAGAACCAGCAGAGTTATCAGAAGAGCTACCCCAACAGCTTTTAGGAAAAGGCCTTTGCCCCAAACCAGAACCGTTCTCAGGGTGGTAACCAACAGAAGGCGCAGTTCAGCAACCAGCAACAACCTTCAAGTTCATCGAACAACCCGAACGATGAGCTTAAGGGTATGATGCAGCAGATGTTGATAAACCAGCAGGAGTCCACTGCGGAGACACACTTGAAGATAGACACCATGTACAACGATCTGAATGGAAAGTACGAGGCTGTGTGGACTCATGTGAAGAAGCTGGATGTCCAAGTAGCTCAAACCGTTGAAGCAGTGAAGAGACCTCATGGAACCCTTCCTGGGAAAGGAGAGACGAACCCCAGGAATGAGTATGCTGCGCAAGTTGAGCTGAGAAGTGGGAGGAAGCTGTTACCCGCTGCGATTCCTCCTAAAAGGTCAGGCAAGGAGAAAGTCGACGAGAATCCGGAACATGTGACTGAAGTCGATCGAGCTGCTTCGAGAGGAGTCGATCGAGCTGATGATGACGCCTCCTTAGCTTGTTCCACAGAAGAAGTCCAGAAAAGATTTGGAGGAAGCAAAGTGTAAGGAGATGTTGAAGGACTTGACTGTGAAGCTGCCTCTGTCTGATGCTGTTCAGATGATTCCTGCTTTGAAGAAGTACATGAAGGAGCAGATATCTGGGAAAGTAGCTAAGGAGGAAAATGTCATGCTAGTGTCAGAGGAGTGTAGCGATGTGGTGATAAAGAAGAGGAGCGATCCATGAAGATTTGTCTTGTCAGTGCAGATTGGTCACATGATCTTCGCATGCTCTCTTTGTGATCTTGGCTTGAGTGTGAACCTGATGCCATATTCTGTGACCAAGCGAATGGGATACACCAAGTTTAAATCCACCAAAGTCTTCTTGGTTTTCGCTGACAGATCGACTAAGTTCCCAGTTGGTCTACTTGAGGATCTCCATGTGCAGATAGGGAACACACTTATCCCAACGGATTTTGTGTTCCTTGAGCTCGACGAAGAACCTAAGGATCCACTGATATTAGGGCGAAACTTCCTATGCACATTGATGTAAAGGGAGGAATCATCGATCTCCATCTGGGAGACATCCTCATGATGTTCAAAATGAACAAACTCCTCAATAAGCTAATGTTAGATGGGCAAACCTATGTGATTGAAGATGGCTCAAACTTGGTGGACGAAGTGAGTGAGGAGATGCTTCTTGACGACCCTCTGGAGGTAGCTTTGACTAAAGCCGAAGGAGAGTATGATTTCTTGAATGAGGAGGCCGATGGCTTCGGGAAAATGATGGATGCAAGCGGCAAGATGGAGAGACTGGTGGCGTACATGAGCTTGGAGGACGAGGAGGATCGATCGAAACAGATGTCGGATCGATCGACTCCACCTCAGGAGAGTCCCGTCAATAGCCCTTGGTGCGAGTCGAGTGCACCTAAGCTCGAGCTGAAAACACTCCCTGCGAGGCTCAGGTATGCATTTCTGGGACCTAACTCTACATAACCTGTGATAATGAATTCTGAGCTGAACAATGTTGAACTTGCTTTGCTTCTCTGCGAGCTTAGGAAGTATAGAAAAGCAATAGGGTATTCGCTTGATGACATTCCTGGAATCTCTCCTGAACTTTGCATGCATAAAATACATCTAGAAGATGAATCGATGACTTATGTAGAACATCAGAGGAGGTTAAACCCGAATCTAAAAGATGTTGTCAAGAAACAGATAATGAAACTTCTAGAACCTGGTGTAATTTATGCTATATCTGATAGTAAGTGGGTTAGTCAAGTTCATGTAGTTCCTAAGAAATGTGGTATTATTGTGGTTAAGAATGATAGGAACGAGCTGATACCCACTAGGACTGTCACTGGTCATCGCATGTGCATTGATCTGGAAGTAGAAGCTTTCGATGTGTGGGGAGTTGACTTCATGGGACATTTCCCATCTTCCTATGGAAACCTATACATTTTGGTGGTTGTCGACTATGTATCTAAATGGGTAGAGGCTTTGGCCAGTCCCACTAATGATGCAAAGGTCGTTCTGAATATGTTCAAGTCAGTGATCTTCCCTCGATTTGGCGTGCCGAGAGTTGTTATAAGTGATGGAGGTTCTCACTTCATCAATAGAACGTTTGATAATCTTTTGAAGAGGCACGGGGTGAAGCACAAGATGGCGAGTCCTTATCATCCCCAGACGAGTGGCCAAGTGGAGCTATCCAACAGAGAGATCAAGAACATTCTACGGAAAACTGCATGCACAACTGGGAAAGATTGGTCTGCAAAATTGGATGATGTACTCTGGGCCTATCGAACGGCCTACAAGACTCCTCTTGGTACAACACCATTCAACCTGGTCTATGGCAAGGCTTGTCACCTGCCTGTGGAGCTAGAAAACAAGGCTGCGTGGGCAGTTAAGCAGATGAACTACGACGTGAAATCTGCGGCAGAGAGAAGGAACATGCAGTTGGTGGAGCTTGACGAGATTAAGCACCTGGCCTATGATTGTTCGAAGATCTACAAGGAGCGGACTAAAGCTTATCACGACAAGAATATCCTGAAAAGGAACTTTTCCCAAGGAGATCAAGTCCTGCTGTTTAACTCCATGCTGAAGTTATTTCCTGAAAAGCTGAAATCAAGGTGGTCTGGACCCTTTGTTATCAAGTAAGTCAGACCATATGGAGCTTTTGAACTATGGGATAAGTCTGGTGGACATTTCGTGGTAAACGGTCAACGCCTCAAGGCATATCTTGCTGATACCGACATCACAGAGAGGGAATCTTTGTTCTCTCAGTGATCCATCTCCTGCCTAATAGGCATTCAAGTCAAGCTAGTGACTTAAACCAAGCGCTTGGTGGGAGGCAACCCACTAGTAAGTGTACATACTCTTTTCCATTAGATTTCCGCTAATTTTGTTTTTCTTTGCTTCTTTAAAAAAAAAAAAAAAAAAAAATCAGATCGAGTCGACCCACCCGTTGATCGACCCGCCCGCCCAACCGTTGACCCGCTGGGCCCACCACGAGGTAAGTGAACTCATCTCCCCACCACACACTTACACT